AAGAAGAAGAAGAAGAAGAAGAAGAAGAAGAAGAAGAAGAAGAAGAAGAAGAAGAAGAAGAAGAAGAAGAAGAAGAAGAAGAAGAAGAAGTAGAAGAAGAAGAAGAAGAAGAAGAAGAAGAAGAAGATGAAGAAGAAGAAGAAGAAGAAGAAGAAGAAGAAGAAGAAGAAGAAGAAGAAGAAGAAGAAGAAGAAGAAGAAGAAGAAGAAGAAGAAGAAGAAGAAGAAGAAGAAGAAGAAGAAGAAGAAGAAGAAGAGGAGGAGGAGGAGGAGGAGGAGGAGGAGGAGGAGGAGGAGCGAAGAGGAGGAGCAGGAGCAGGAGCAGGATGTCGCGGGTCGGCGCTGGGCTCCCCTCGACGCACCTTTTGCGCCCGGGGGGGAGCGTGTAGGGAGGTGGCCCAAGAGATCCGCGGGGAGCTGCGCAGGTGTATACAGTATTCTGCGAAGGCCTCACGACGGGTGCCGCCGACACTGAAAGGGGACGACGGCGGCGGTGACGACGACGACGACGACGACGACGACGACGACGACGACGACGATGCTGACGCTCTCGAGCCCTCCTTCGGGCTCTCTTGGGAGCCTCTGGGGCCCTGTTTGGGGGCGCCTCCGGGGGGACTTCTTGGGAAGCGCCGTGGTCATTTGGAGCCGCCTCGGAGCGGATCATCTGAGGCCTCCCTGGAGGCGTCTGGGAAGATGCGCAGCCCCCCGCAACAGCAAGTGAGCGCGAGGGTCTGGGAGGAGGTGTGGGGGCGGGGGTGATGGTTCCCTCACCCACTGGGGGGGATTGGGGGCTGAGTTTCCCTTGTCCACGGGGGATCGCCCCCTGTCCCCCCGTCCACGGGGGAACCGGGAGGGGGAAGGCAGGGTGGACCACCTCCTTTGCCCCGCTGTCCAAGGAGGGGACGGGGGGGGAGCGGGAGGTGGAGGGGCCCTGGGTTCCCATTGTACACAGTGGGAACGGCCCCCTGGTCGGGGGGAAGGTATTCTGACCCAGGTGGCCCCCCCCCCCCCCCCCAGTATCTCCATCAACACCTCCCCTCCCTGGACCTCCCCTCGCTGGGGAAGGGATCAACGGGAAGGGGCTTCCCTTCGATTCAAATACGACGTTGCTCAATTTCGCTCTGGCTGGCGCGCTTGAGGAAGACGGCAGGGGGGGGGACCGGCGACGGCGTCGGCGGCCGCCGGCCGCCGGCCGGCGGCGGCGGCGGCGGCGCTGGTGGCGGCGGCGACGACGACGACGACCAATACGACGACGCGACGAGTCAAACGACGCAGCGCCTCGCACACGCCGACATGGTCTTAGCACGCCTTTGACCCGCTGACTCGACGAAATTCAGTTCGGGTTTATTCTCTTCGGACCCTTGCTGGGGGTTTGGAGGCTTCTTGCGAGGCCTCTTGGGCAGTCTTCGGGCCCTCTTGAAGTGTGCCAATCTGGGAGGCTGCGTTGGCCGTGTTGGACAGTCTGAAGACGGACCAGCAGCAACGCGAAAGCATAGGAAATAGAGCCCAAGTACGGAGGCTTTTTGAAGCCAGATTGGGCCATGGTGAGGCTGTCTGGAACACTTGTAGGGGGTGTATGGAGGCCATCGTGGATCCTGCCACCGATGGATCCCGACTCGAATGATCTCTTCGGGCTCCCGTGGAGTCCTTCGGAGCGCTCGCAAGGGCTGATCAAGCTAGACGATAGCCAATTCGTTTGACCACAGTTGGCAGCGTGTTCTTTATCAGCACCGGCTCCATCCACACACACACACCCTCCCTCCTTCCACGCCCCGATCTCCGCCCCCACCCACACTTCCTCCTCCCCCCTCTTACTGCTTCTCCCCCTCGCGGGGGGCTCGTGGAGTGGAAGGGGGAGCGATGACACGTGCGGAGGATGAGGAGTAGGAGGAGGAGGAGGAAGAGGAGGATGAGGAGAAGACGAAGGAAAGCAGGAGCAAGGAGGAGTATGGAGGGGAGGGCGGGGGGGAACATTCAGAGGAGGGGAAGGAGGAGGAGGAGGAGGAGGAGGAGGAGAAGGAGGATAAGGAGCAGGCGGGGACCAGTGCCAGGCAGGAGGCAGGGCCAGGCAGAACAAGGCAGGACCAGTCACCCCAGGGCTTGATGGGTCCCAGTGAACCAGCCAGCCAGGCAAGTTTAGCAAGAAGGCAGACCCAGGAGGAGCGGCAGACCAGCCAGGTCCAAAATCAAAACAAGCGGGAGCAGGAAACGCCAGGCCTGACCCGTCACGTCATGCTCCCCTCTGTTTTCTTCTGCGCCCAGGCTAGAAGAACACGCTCCCGACCGTTTCTTCGGTCCAAACGCCTCTCATCAGCTTGCCATTGGGCAGGATGGTGTCTACCCGACACGCCGCAGGACCCAACCTTCCTGCACGGTGGGCTGCTCTTGTGAATGCCTCATGGTCGGTGCCGCCGACCATGACATTCTCTGGGTCGTTGGCGCCCCCCCTCGGGACCCGCCGGGGCCCTGGTGAGTGGCAGCATTCTATTATGACCCGGGACCACCCTCCCCAAGCTAGTGGATTATGGATAATCTCTTGGGGGAACGCATCGGTGGAAAGAGGAAGGAAGAGGAGGAGGAGGAGGAGGAGGAGGAGGAGGAGGAGGAGGAAGAGGAGGATGAGGAGGAGGAGGAGGAGGAGGAAGAGGAAGGAGGAGGAGGAGGAAGAGGAGGCCTCTTGGGGCCCCCTTGGGCCCTCCTGGGCGCTTCCTGGGAGCCTCCTGAGTGCCTCTTGGGGCCCTCTGGGGAGCCTCCCGAGGCCTTTCAGGGGCCTCTTGGGACCTCTTCGGCAGTCTTAAGGCGCTCGTGGCCCGTCTGACGACGTCGGAGGCCGTCTTGGAACCCTCTCTGGGCCGTCTCTGTTTTTTTTTGTCAGAGTCCCATGGTTTCCCAATCAGTGCTTGCACTGAAGAGGTCCTAGCGGAAGTTGAAAGATTTGGCGAAAGTTTCCCTCCGATTTTGGTTTGGTAGCAGGCCGGGTTCCCGGGTTCCCGGTTCCAGGTTCTTGGGTTCCCGGTTATTGGTTCCGGGCCGATTTCGGTGGGTTCTGGTCTCCCGGGCTCCCAGGTTCCCGGTCGATCTCCTCAGCGAAAACCATTGGCTGATTGGGTTTGTCTCTGGTGTAATGACATCCATGTAGCAGGCATATCACGTGAGTGCCACACCGCCATGGGGTAGGACATTTGCCACGTCGTGCCCCTTCCTCTTCCCCTCCCTCCTCCCCCTTCTTCCTTTCCACATCCTCCTCACTCCCCAGTTGATGTATTGTTTTGCTACCGTGGCGGAGGCACAGAACCCCAGGTTGCGGCGCGCGGCCGACGTGGCTCGGGTGTGTGTCATGTGTTGCTCCTTCTCCCTCCCCAGGTTCCCCATCCCTCGCCTTCATTACCCCTCTCATTCCTCTCCTTCCTCAGTGGTTCACGCTAGGGTCGCCTTGATCTCTTGGTAAAAGCTTTACACGGTGGTTATCAGAGGTCGTGGCCACACCAGTTGACGATTTTGTTCGCCAGGCCCCTTCGCTCGACCACTCCAGAAACATTTAAAAGAGACCAGCCGGTGCCACCGATCCGGGGGACGACGACGACGACGGCGACGACGACGACGACGACGACGACGGCGACGGCGACGGCGACTGCGACGGCGACGGCGGCGGCGACGATGCTGACGCTGACGTAGGTCAGAGTCCTCAGGGGTACCTCTTGGGGTCTCTTCGGAGCGCTTTCGGAGTCTCTGGGGGGCAGTTTTAGGGCCTCCTGGGGGGTTCTCGGTGTCCTCTCGGGCCTCTTGGGGGCCTCTTGGGGCTTCCTGGGGGCCTCGTGGCGGCCTCTTGGGGCCTCCTGGGAGCCGCTTGGAGGCCTCTTGGGACCTGGGAGCCTCTCGGGGCCGAGGGTTCAAAGTGTCCGTTCGGGTCCCCTGTCTGGACGTCCTCTTGGAGCTGGCGTGGGGTCCTCTTGAGCCGTCCTGGAGGCATCTTGGGCTGCCTTGGGGCCCTCTTGGGTCGTGTTGGGGCCTTCTTGGAGGCCTATTGGGGCGATTTTGGGGGCCTCTGGGGCCGTCTTGGAGCGTGGGGAAGCAGAAAAGTCGAGACCGCCAACATCCGTCACAAACCAAAGGTAAATTGATGAAGTTTGCCTCCTGAGGCCCTCTTGGAATTGCTCTTGGAGCCCTCTTGGGGCGTCTTGGAGGCCTCTTGGGCTGTCTGGAGGTTATCTTGGACGTCTTGGGCCGATCGTTCGACGATTCGGAGCCCTCTTGGACCGTCTTGCGGGCCTCTTGGGGCACCTTTGGCCCGTCTTGGACCTTTTTGGGGGCTCCGCGACCCCCCCGGGGGATGGTAATATTCTGACCCCCCGGTGGCACCCTCAACACCCCCCCCTCGGCACCCCCCGTGGGACCCCCCCCGGCGGGGCAGGGAGATCAATGGAAGGGGTTTGCCTTCGACTCAACTACGACGTTGTTCAGTGTTGCTTTGGCTGGCGCGCTTGAGGAGGGCCCAGGGAAGGGGGGGGGTAGCGGCGACGGCGACGACGACGACGAGTCAAACGAAACAGCGTTTCGCACATGGGTCCAGAGATTCGGGCTCGAAGTCGTGAGTCTCTGTGGTGCAACTTTCTCACTTCAGACAGCTCGCAGCGTTAGGCTGCCCGATGTCGACCGTTCCATGGACGTTGCAACCCGAAGGCGTGTCCGCGAGCCATCACGAGGAGACATCGAACGACTCTTCCACCATCACGGACGAGGACGAGGAAATCTTGCACCACATCAGTCGTATGCAGTTGCACAATTCACGGCGTGTGGCGAAGAGGTTGCACAAGGAAGGCTACAAGACAATGGACGAGCTCGTGGCCGCGGACTTCGCAGGCCTCGTGCGCAGTTTGGGCATTGGCCCAGGTGATGTGCCGAAGCTGGCGCAGGGCTTGCACCACTTCCAGAGCGGCACGTTCGACACACTCTACGCCCTTCCGTCAGAGAACATTGTTGAGATGTCGGAGGCCCCGACGTCCGCCGACGTCGGCGTGCAGGAGCAGCTTCGTGTCGAAGATGCGGGTGCGCAGACAGAGACGACACAGGCAGGCCCAGGCGAAGTGCAAGGAAGGGCCAGCACGCCAGGCCATCAGGCACAAGCCGATCCACAGATCGGGTGGTCCCACGACAAGGTCATCGCTTCTCTGGGTAAATGTGGGGTGCCGCTTGTCACCGTCATTGCCATGTTGGTGGGCGAGAAGAAAAATGATCCAGTCCGGGCTTGCTTATTTTTTGGTTGGTTTGCAAATGGTAGCTTGTTGCTTTCATATTATTCCATCTTCGTTGGGATATACCGCGTACTTTCCGCGCGCCCCTTCTCAAAAGACCTGGGCATCGGTTGTGGGGGGGGCATGGCAACCTTTTTGGCATCCTGTCGCGCTGGGTGCGCCACAACGGGTGGTTGCTTCAGTTCCTCTGCACAAGTGTTGCTTCCGAACCGTTCGCATAAAGCAATCGGCGATTTGCACGAGGGCGACCGCATCCTTTCATTCAACAAGGGGGTCTTTCGGATCAAGCGCGTCCTACGTTGCATCAAGTCCGCCGGGACCACTGCGATGTGCCGGCTTCATATCATCATGCCGGGGGGAACGCAAGGATCACTTATCGCAACGCCAGGGCATCCCGTCTGGGTCCATGGCAAGGGGTGGTGCGCCGTACCAGGCAATGGTCGTGGCAAGGAGGTTCCCTCCCCCCGCGATGTGGAAAAGGACGACGTGCTCGTTCATCACACGGGAGCGATGGTCAAAGTGACCGCGATCGAGCCTGACGCGATCGAGGCCGAGCCTTTCAACTTAGTAGTCGATGGTCCAGGCACGTTCTTTGTCAGCGATATCTTGGTGCACTCACACATGAACAGACATGGCCGTGTGTATGGAAGGACGAGGCCGAAGGCCTTCGGAGGCTGCTAGCAGCTAGCGGCGGAGTCTCTCCGCAGAGGCGTCACCGCTGATGCTGTGCCGCGCGCGAGGCGCGAGCTACGCACATGCTTCGGGCGATTCGCGCCACCAGCGGCCTCGGCCGCCGCGCTGCTGCACCGCTGCGCTGCCGCTGTCGGCAGCCGTCTCCTGGACGAGGCTCATGGGGAAGAGCACCTTGCCACCTTGCAGGGCTCGTTCCGATTCCTCCGATCCGATCCGATTCGACCTCGATGGTATCTGATTCCGATTCGACTCGGCTTTGGACTCCGATGCGGGCTCCGACTTCTCAGTGGAGGCCTACTACAACCTGCCAGTTTCCGCCGATTCTGTTTTGCTCGACTCGGCTGTCGATTTCTGCCGATCCGATTTATTTCGATCGCCGATCCGATTTATTGATGCGATTATGGTCTCTTCTGGCCGTCTCCTGGACGAGGCTCATGGGGAACAGCCTTGCCACCTTGCCCCTATCAGCCTTCCAGTCGGCGGCGCAATCTTCAGGGATGCGCAACTAGCGGTCAATCCAGTCTCCTCTCGCCCTCCCCCTTACCCTGCTTCCCCCGCCCCCCCCTTCCTCCCTGTCCTCCTCTGCGAGGAGAGGCACGCACTCTCCCTGGTGTACATATGGCGATGGGCCATCGCCGCCCAGAGCCCGGGGAGCTGTACGCCCCCAGGTCGCCCACAGCTGACCCTCAGCTGCCGTGCGGTCGGTGTGATTGCGGAGATGGGAAAAACAAGTCTCGCACACGCCGGCAGGGTTGGCGGATTTGCGCAGCTCATCGTGGAGTGTTCAACCATCTTGTGTGTTGGAGCCTCGTGTTGAACTCGCCGCACCGCGCCCCTTCTCCCTCTCCTCCCCCTCCCCCGCCTCCCCTCTCTTCTGAGTCACCGTCGCCCATCACCGTCATCATCCCCATCGTCGTCGGTCGCATTGGGCCGCACCCCTCGCACGCGTCGTGGCCCCTAGAGGGAGCTCCGCCGAAGGCTCCAGTGGCAGGGCCCGATCGGCGTCCCCCCCCCATCCATTTCGGCACACCCCCCACTCACGTGTCTCGTGGCCCCCCGGGGAGCTCCGCCGAAGGCCTCAGTGGTGGGGGCCGCATGCCGCGCCTCCGCGCCCTCTTCGCCGCATGCCGCTTGCAAGCGCGCTTCGTGCTCCCCATCCGCGCTGGCCTGGGCTCCGTGCCTCTCCCGCGGTGCGCCGCCTTCGGGGAGAGGGTCGCGTCTGGCGCTGTTATGCTCGCAGCTGCATGGGGATGCGTTATTCCCTGATGTGTTTGAAGGGGTTCCTCGTACAGTGCCGTTTTTAGTACATGGTCCGCGTGCGGACCATGTACTTAAAAAAGGTTTCGTATCAACCACAGCGAGGAATTCATGCATACATTTATTCATATATTAATCATATATGACAATCCTATGTCTTTTACATCCTATGTATTAGAAACTGCCCTGTACATCCGCACGCGAATGGACCAACACGGGATTGTGTTCCCGGTTTGAGGTTCGGTACACACACAACTATATATATATATATACAGATATATATATATATATATAGATATATATATATATATATATATATAGAGATATTCCTGGGGGCCAGGCCTGGGGCCCACAAACAGGTGCCCCGACCCCCCATGGCGGGACGGGGCGGCCGGGGAGGTCTAAAATTGTCCAGGAGGGCCTCCAGAGGCTCCCCAGACGGCCCAAGCGGGCCACGAGTCGCCGAAAGACCGCTCCTGGACGCCCAAGATAGGCCCAAGACGGCCCGAGAGGCCCCCCCCCCAGGCACTCCAGGACGCTTCAAGACGCCTCTCCAGAGCGCTTCAAGTGGCCGAAATCGTCAATTTTACTGAGGTTTTGGAGAGATTTTGGCTTTCCAGCCTTTTCGGCTGTCCGACGTTCCAAGACGGCCCAATAGGCCCCCAAGAGCGCCCCAAGACGGCCCAAGAGGGCCCCCAGACGGCCCCAGAGGCGCCCAAGACAGCCCAAGAGAGCCCCAAGAATCGCCCAAGAGGGGGACCACGACTCCAACATTCGACCCTCCCGCTTGAAGAGTGCCCCAGGAGGCCCCAAGGAGCCCCCAGGAGGCCCCCGAGAGGCATTCAGGAGGCCCAAACGAGGCCTCAAGAGGTCACAAAACAGCCCCGAGGAGGCCCCACAACGGTCCCAAAATGGCTACCGAGAAGCTGCGAACCTGCCTTCACGACGTCCCCGACAGGCCAACCACGAGATCCAAACCAACATCCATGAGGCCTCTGACCCACCACCTAGGGCACCCGCTGCCCGCCCGCCGTCCGCGTAGCACGCACCACTCTGTACTCAACAGCTTCAGTCTCCAAGACAACACCCTGCAGTCAACAGCCCCCGTCTTCAAGGCAACACCCTGTACTCAACAAGCTCCCGCTGCAAGAGAGCACTCCTAAGGAATTCATTAAAATCCCGACCCGCCCGCCCGCCCGCCCGCCACCCGCCCGCCCGCAGCCTGCCCGGCCGCTCGCCCGCCTTCCGCGTAGCACGCGCCACCCTGCACTCAACAGCCTCCGCCTTCAAGACAACACCTAGCATTCAACAGCCTCCAGGGCTCCCCGGACTGCCCGGGCCCGCTCCCAAACACGCCACGACACGGCAAGAGGGCCCTAAATATTGCCAAGACAGCCCCAAGAGGCCCCCGACACGCCGAAGATGGCCTCAGGACGGCCGACGACGTCGCCAAAACGCCCCAAGAGCGCCTCCAGAGGCCCCTCCAAAGGGCCCCGCATTTTTGCGCTCTCGCATGTTCCGCCTCCCCACGGTCCCGGACGGCGTCAGAGGCCCTCCAGATCGCTCCAAGACGGCCGGAGAGGCTCCCAAGAAAGACCAGAGACGGCCCAGGAGGCTCCCCAGATAATTCAAGAGGGCCTCGAGAGCGCCCCAAGGAGCCCCAAGAGCGACCCAAGAGGGCCCGAAGAGCGCGACATTTCAAGGTCTCTGACCCGAGAGGCTCCTAGGACGCCCCCAGAGGCCATCAAGAGGCTCCCAAGAATCCCCGTGAGGCTGCCGAGAGGCACCCCGGAAGCTCCAATAAGCCCCCAAGGGGCCCCCAGGGAAGCCCCCTGCGGGCCCCCAAGAGACCTCGGTAAATCGTATTTCCCAGAGCTTTCCAGGAACATGATTCCTTGGGCTTCCGCCCACCGCCCCAACCATGTTTCCAATAGGCTTGCCGACAAGGCCAAAAGGGGCCCCTCGGTAAGCCCCCAGAGGCCCCTTTTTAAGAGAGCCGAACAAATCATGCTCCCGGAACGCTTCCTGGGAACATGATTCTCGGGTTGCCGCCCTCTCCCCAAACTATGTTCCCTAAATGCCTGCCATAATACAAACAAGCGAGAGTCCCAACCAGCGCTACCTGCCGCCACGCTCGGAAACGCGTCATGCCCCGAAGCCTCCAGAGGCGCCCAGCGATACCTCAACAAATCATGTTCCCAGGAAGTCTTACGGCCAGTGCCGCCGACGTTGAAGGAGGACGGTCCAGGACACCTAGAAATCTTCCAAACAGGTTTCCAAGAGGGCACCGAGACAGCCCAGGGCCGCCCCCAGACGGCCCAAGAAAGCTCCAACACATACGAAAAGGGCCGCAAGAGGCCCCCAAGAGGCCCCGAAACGAGGACATATCGTTCGAACACGCCCAAGATGGCCTCCGGACGGCCCACAGGCCCAAAGAGACCCCAAAATCATTAATTGTCCTCAATGGAGTTCAGACACCCAATGTTTTCCCAACAGGCCCCCACGAGGGTGCCGAGACGGCCCAGGGACGCCCTGCCGCGGGCGCGAGGCGGGGCCCAGAACGGGGCCCTCGCACCGGGGGGCCCGGGGGCTCTGCCGTGGCTCTGGGGGCCTGGTAAAGTCGCCCGAAGACGGCCCTGGATTGCCAGACATGGCGTTTCCAGACAACGAAAACGACCAATGACCGCCCGAGATCACCCCAGAATTGGTCCCTGACTGTCCAAGAGGCCTCCAAGACGCCCCAAGAGGTCTCCAAGATGGCTCCCAAGGAGCCCCAGGAGGCACAACTAATTTGTTTTCCTTTGTTTTTTGATCGATTTTCGAGTTCTCGCCTTTTGAGTTCTCACGGGGGTCCCAAGACGGCCCCAGAGGCGCCCAAGGCGGCCCGAGAGGGCCCCAAGACGGCCCCATGATGGAGCCAAGAGTGTTGACACGAACCGAAAATCCGAGTGTTCCACCCCTAGCAGGCTCCAGGAGGCCCCAAGAAGCCCCCCAGGGGGCCGAAGAGTATCCAAGAGGCCTCCCACCAAGGCCCGAAGAGGCAAACATCCATGTCTTGCCATAGGTTGTTGATTGATGTTAGAGTTTTCAGTTTTTTGGCGTCCTGACGCTCCAAGACGGCCCAAAAAGCCTCCAAGACCAATCCAAGATAGCCCAAGAGGCCTCCAGCAGGGCCCAAGACAGCCCGAGAGGGCACCAATACGGCCCCAAGAAGGGGCCAAGAGGGGTAAGACGAACCGAACATCCGAGCCTTCCACCCCGAGAGGCTCTCAGGAAGCCCCAGAGGCCCCCATATGGGACCCAAGAAGCCCTCAAGAAGCTCCCCAGAAGGCCGAAGAGGTTCCATGAAGCATTGTTTTCCTATCGGCGTTTGATGGATTTTAGAGTTCCCAGCCTTTTGGCATCCCGACGCTCCAAGACGGCCCAAGTGGCCCCCAAGACCGCTCAAGATAGCCGAAGAGGCCTCCAAGAGGGCCCCAAGACGGCTCACGAGGGCCCCAATACGGTGCCCGAGGCGCCCAAGACGGCCCGAGAGGGCCCCAAGAGGGCCCCAAGAGAGCCCCAAGAAGGGGAACGCGAACCCAACAGCAGAGTTTTCCGCCCTAAGAGGCCCACAGGAGGCCCCAAGAGTCCCCAAGTGGTCCGACGAGGCCCCCCAAAGCCCCCCAGCAGGCCCCAAAAGGCTCACAGGAGACGTACACGGGGCCCCAAGATAGCCGAACAGTGCTCTCGATGCATCAAAATTGCTTCAAGGAGGCCCCGGGAGGCTTCCGGATTGCCCCAATGTGGCCTCAAGCCGGGCCTCCACGCAGCCAAGACGGCCAATTGACTGCGTCAGACTGCAGAACATCACTTTCCGACTGCCCGGAGAACCTTGACGATGCCCCCAAGGGACCCCAAGAAGCCCCAAGATGCCCCCCCGAGAAGCGCCCAAGAGGTGCCTCCAACAGCCAATTGAGGAAGCACGGAGAACCTCCCAGAAGCCCTTCAGATGCCCCCACGAAGACCCAAGAGGTTCCCAAGAGGCCCTCAGGAGGCACGACTATGTCACGCGCCTGTGCTTGATAGCGCTGTCCAAGATCTTCTAGAGCGCGCCCCCCGGCCTGGGCTAGAACCTGAGCGCGCGCGATGGTTTTAGTATATATATATGCATACATATAGGTGTGTATATATACACCTATATAGATGTAAGTTGCGTGTTCGTTCGAGGTGACATATTGGCGGCGCGCACGGAGAGGTGGGATGGGTCTCCCCGTTCCTCCTGTTCCCAGTTGTGCGTGCTCATTGGGTTTACCATTCGGCTCAATACCGTGCTGTCCCTCGTTGCACTTTCTCAGAGACCCGAATCATCAGGGATGACTCGGGTCAGGGCTAACTCGGGTTCGCTTTTCGGGAATCCGAACCCGAGTTGCCCCGGGCCCGAGTAACCCCGGATAACTCGGGCGCCCAAGTTTCTTTCTACCCCCTCGTTCCTTCTTTCTCTTCCCATTTTCGTATCGCTTCAGATCTACAGAGGGTCGCAATGAAGCCAGACAGTGGCGCCTGTGGATGGCACTGTCTTCTGCACTTGCTAGTCATATCTTCAGCGCCATCCATAGACAGTCTCACCAACCACATTTGAGGTGCGCATTCGAACGACATCGCGCCTCAGAAGCGCTCGTATATCGTTCAGCTCCACCACTTGCAGCCACAATTGCAGCATCGAGTTCAGCCTCAGCTTCCACGGCATTGGCCAGCATCCCCACTGGCGGAAGTTGAGACACCAGCTGCAGTCAAAGGATGAGCAGCAGACACGTGCCGCTACCCTTGAACCCTCTTGGAACATTCGGGACGCACTCATCCCATAGAGTTCAGACAGCTGGATCCGCGATCCATCCTTCCGAGTCGTATTAATAACATAGTTCAGAATTGTGCGAGTTAACTCCTAGCGAATTTCAAATTGGTAGTACCGTACCAATCGTCTGCATCCTCCGTCCCAGTCAGATGTTTCTCTGCCTCTCGTCGCATCCTTGATCCTGCTCTCTCGGGCTCATTCTGGCTGGAGTTTACACAGTTCGTCCAGAGCTCTCTGTATATCTCCGGACGTGCCTCGATCTGTCATAGGATCGCACGCCCTACATCAATATATCTCGGTCTTTCTAGCTTGATCCCCGCAAGGCGATTTGAGAATAGCTCTAAAGCATTCCTTCTTCTCCTCCTCCCCCTCCTCCTCCTCCTCCTCCTTCTCGTCCGGCGTTGCTCTCCCGAGGCAAGCACGCCCCCGTGCCGATCAAGAGCTTCTTGCAGTGCGGGCTCCCGCAGCGGATCCTCCACATCCTGGAGCTTGGCGCAGCACCGGCGTATCCTGCCCCCCGGCCTAGAGGGGAGGGGAGGAGGAGTACGAGGAGGACGTGGAGCCCAGTAAGCCGCAGAGAGTGTACACCGAAGCCCTTCGCGCCGCCACGGTGGTCCCAGGCAGGCTGTGCTGCCTGGCGGAGGGGGAGAGGGGTACAGAATCAGGCAGACGACGACGAACGCGCAGGCGGGAGGCCAGGGCTGGCTGGGTGGGAGGGCAGGCGGGAGCATGATGAAGGGAAAGGAGGCAGGGAAGAGGAGGAAATGGAAACCAGCCGCAAGCAGCCAGGCCAAGGACCAGGAAACACATAAAAACACCCGCTTCGAGGATGCGGCCCCACACGGCGGCGACACCGATCAGGCGGCGCAGGCGTAGCGGCGGAATAGGCGGCGGGAGTCGGCGAGGGGGCTCGTTTCTAGTCGTCGGGGAAGGCCGTCGGGGTCGCCGGGGAACGGCGCGGGGTGGCCGTGCTGGCCCATCACGCTGTGGCCTGGTGGGGAGAAACCTTTTGCGGGATCGCCCACCGCCCCTCCAGGGTAGGTCCGGACGGCGTGCGCGAGGTGGGGGGGGAGGGACCGCCAGCGCGACGCTGGCGGAAGGGCGCGGGGGCATCCGTGCTGTTCAGCAAGGGTGGGGAGGGCAGCGCCGGGTACTGACTCCTCGCCTGGCTTCTGCCGTGGCAGCAGCCAGGCGGGACGCAGTCAGGCGGATTGAATTTGGATGCGCCGCAACCCCGCCCGCGCGCTTTCCCTGCGCAAGGATACGCAAAGGCCCCGGGCGTGTCGGTCCGCAACCACCCGTTTGGTTAGGGCACCTAAAACCGTGCTGGTTTCGCGGCCCCACCAGCCGCCTTGGGCATCACCGCTACGGGAGAATGGTGGAGCCCTGTACCGCGCAAGGCCGCGCGGTGTCCTGGTGTTGCCTTCGGAACTTCTGCATTGCACGTGCCGGTCCGTCGCCGCGTTTGACGAAGCGGACGACGCGGCGAGGGAATCGGCGCGAAACCTGGACGTGGCGGCAACGTCCTAGGCGGCCGCCGTACCGTTGCGTCACCGTTGCAGGTAAACATCACAAAGGGCGGCGGCAGGTGTCGTCTACATTGGATCCGCCCTGCTCGCCCCCAGGGTTGGCCGTCCCGGCGGGGCGCGGGGGAAACAGCCCCAGGCGCTCCAGTTTCGCCCTGGCGGAGCCATCGGCCACGGCGTCGAAGGAGGCTTGGTTGCGCAGGGAGTTTGGGCGATTCGTCCGCCGCGGCAAACGCAGACCAAAGCGTGGTCGCAGAAGACGTCTATCACTTCGCAACAGGCTGGGCAAAAGCACTCCTCTTGCAGGAGGTGGACTCGCAGCCGCCTCTGCAGGCCGACCTGCATGAAGCCGCGCGGGAAGGCGGTGCCCTCGCATGGCGGCGCTTGGAGCCACGCGGCAGCGCCTGTGGCCCGCATCAGGGAGTGGTGCACCCTGCCGGCCAAGGTGGCGCCTGCCAGAAACCTGTCGAGCGCGGCGCCGTCCACCGCGTTGGAAAGGGTTGTCGGGTCGCGGTGCTCCGAGCGGTCGAACACCACCTTGTCGGCGGCCTCCACGACTGCGTTGTGGGTTTGCACCGCAACCGAGAGGCGTCTCCCGTCGCTGCCAGCGCCGCTGGAGTAGCCAGAGTAGAGTTGCCGACAGAAGTCGGTCCTCTTCGATCGGGAGGCAGTGTAAGCGGCGACGACGTGCTCAGCGGCGGAACGTTGGCCGAGTCCTTCCTTTTCGAGCTTGAGCTGGACCTGCTGCCAGGACCGTCGGAGGGCTGACAGCGGCTCAGTCGCTCAAGGGGGGCCCGGATGGCGTCGTCCATGGCCATCAAGGAGTCGGTGTGCGCTGTGGGCGGCACCGCGCGCGCGGAGCATCCCAGGTCGCAGAAGGATGCGCGCTGGTGCAGGAGGTGTCTTGCGGCCTCCCCCAAAGTTTCTCTCAGCGCGGCGGCGCTCGTGGCCCGCTGCTTGGTGTGGTCCACGTACAGGACCGCGTCTCTCACAGGCGCGCCGAGCAACTCGAAACTGTGATCGGTGCGGGGGCGGACGCCTGGCCGAAACCGTGGAACCCAGCTTCGCTTTGGTTCCTATTACCTGTTGGGGTTGAACTGTATACTCCGCTCTATCCCTCTCCCCTCTCTCTGTTTTGCTGCCTTTGGGTATGTCTGGCCTCTTCGGATGTCCGCGCTGCGCCCTCTTGCGCCTCATCGCCGCACGGAGGGCAGGGATGATGAACGTCATCGAGGTAGCGGCATCCGGCCGTCGGTTTTCCAGAAGCCTCCGGGAACGCCCAGAGACCTCCGGGGATGAGGACGGGGAGCGGTGCGGCGACGGACACAGATGGAGAGGCGGACGGGGGAGAAAGGATATGAGGAAATGGTCAGGGCGAGGTGGAGGAACATGAAGAAAAAGGGGTGCAGGGAAGGGTGTTCGAAGAGAAGGAGGGGGACAACGAGGAACACGAAGAGATGAGCACATGCAATCTGGGGCGGGGGAGACGAATGAGGTAGAACACGGGGAATTCTAATACGAACATGATAAGCAGAAGGACGACACGTCAGGGAGATGAGGAGAAGGGAAGGCATTAGGATGAGGAGGAATGTCGAAAGAACATGACGACAAAAAACGATGAGGAGGAGAAGGAGGAGGGAGGGGAAAGGAGGGGAGGGCGAGGATCAGGGGGGAGGACGCAGATGAACGACAGGGGGGATGTTCAGAAAATGGATGGGAGATGAGGGCGGAAGTGGAAGAGGATGGAGGGGGGGAAGAAGGTAGAAGGAACAAAGGGGAGGAGGAGGAGGAGGAGGAGGAGGAGGAGGTGTGAAGGAGGGGGGGGGCAGGAACGAAAAAGAGGGGAAGGAAAGAGGAGGAGGGAGGGAGGGACAAGGGAGGGCAAAGCACAGCGGGGCGCGCCAGATTTCGGCGGTCTGGCCCGAGCAGGCCCTCCCCCCCCCCTCCTCTGGGCCGCTCCGCTCGGGGCCGGCCCGCTCGCCCGCAGGAGAAGAGGGACTACGAGAAGCCGTTCCCCGTGCAGATGCAGGCGGCTGCCCACGAGGAGGGAGGACGTCGAGGGTCGAGGGCATCAATGCGTGCTCGGGGGAGTCGAGGACATCTGGGATGCATGCGGCTGCACACGGTCTCGGGGATCGGGGGTCGAAGACGGCGGGCTGCCCGTGCCCTCGGCAGTGCCAGCTTCACGGGGGTACTGCTCGGCCTGGAAGGAGTCGGAAATGATAGTCGCGAGTTGTTGTTTTTGCCCCTGGTACCACATGGGTGTTGCACCTCATAGTGTCACAGGAACATATGGGAACATATGGGAAGTGAGGGGGGAAGACGAAAACGCAGAATCTATGCAAACATATGGGGAGTATTGGGACGTGTGTCCATTTATTTGTGTGTCCCTGAGCCCCCTTATTGGTGCCCTATGAGTGGTGCTCTACAGCCGGGGCCCTACGAGGTTGCTGCCTCAGCGATAGCGCTGTCCCGCTCATGCATAGGGATGCCCCACGGGTGGTGTTCTCTAGATTGTGCTAGTTTTGAGTCGGGCAGGTCCCTCTACAGGAGGAATATTCAAGAATCGGGAGGCAATAGCCTGGGGACGATGTTTCGTGCTCCTTGGAGTCTGTTTGACTGTGTGCTGGCTACGCGTGCATGCTTCTTCCAGAAGCCGCCTCTGGGTAGGCGGACATGCCCGACCGAGTGCTAGTTCCATGGCGCCTTGGTGGGTGCGATGTCGCGCTCCTGCATTTGCTGCCCTACTGGTGGTGATCCATGGGCCGATGTCGCGCGCGCGCGCCGGCATCGGCGTCGGCGTGTGTAGCGCGGCTTGGCCTCGACGCTCGCTGGGGCGCGCGCTGCGGCAGGCCGGCGGGAGCGCACCGCGAGGGGCGGGGGAGGAGGGGCGGGGCTAGGGGGGAGGAGGGGTAAAACGACGCGAAGATCGGAACACAATCGGATCGGGATAACTCGAAATCTCTGAGAATCGGCGGGTTTGGAGGATGTATTGGGCGCCGCGGCCGCTCCAGAGCGTTCCGGAACTCTCTGCGAGCGATCCGGAACGCTCTGGAGCGATTTATCCCGATCCTAGCCCTGTTTTAAAGGGGAGGAGGGCGAGAGGGACGGGGGGAATCGGTTGACTGGTGCGTGTTCGGCGGCGAGCGAGGAGGGGGCAGTGAAACGGAGAAGGCCTTGTCGCAAGGTCCGGAAGTCCCCCGGCCTTCTGAGATTTTTGTGTTCAAAGCCTTCCCTGAAGACAAATAACAACTTCTCAGAAAGCGTGAGGGCTTCTGAGAAGTCCCGCCGCCTGCTGAGAAGGCCTTCTCTTTCTCATTTCCCCCCATCGCTCGCCGCTAAGTGTTGGTTCACGGTGTTTTGCGGTGGAGGTACGTTAGGACGTTCCTTTGAGAGACGCCTTCGTTTTGCCGAGGGTCCACCAAGGAGTCCTCAGCCCCCTCCTGTACACCTTTTGAAGTCAAGGCGTATTTGTGTATTGATGGGGGGGCGACCCGAGCAGCTCCTATGATGGAAGCCGCGAGGGTTGTGAGGCCTACGATGGTCCTCACTGAGAAGGCGTACAATGGGCCTCACCGGGGTGGGGGAAGAACGCAGAATACTTGAGCCTCAGCGTCGACGCCATTCGCGATCCGCCAAGTCTTGAAAGCGGGAGTCCTGCGAGTCCGCCGAATCCAAACAGAGAAGTCTTGGGTATCGAGGAGACGCAGACATGGAATACGGCGCTTAGACTAGCGCGGGTCTTGCTTCCATGCAAGACCAACGCGTTCCGTCGCCAAATTTGGCGGCATTGGGTTCACGTTTCGGAGTCTTTCGCGGATCTTTCGATACTGTAGCATCTTGGGGGCTTGTTTTGGGGCTGTTTGGAAAGTTTGGATGCTGTTGGAGCTTTCTTAAGGCCGTCTTGGGACCCTCTTGGGGGCCCTTTTGGGGCCATATTCGAGACCATCGAGCAGAGAAGGGTGGGGGGCAACTAATTTAAGTACCCGCGTCGGAGGGCGAAACCTCGCCTCTGGGGCGCCTTGGGCAGTTGTTGGGCACTTGTTGGGGCTGTCTTGGGGATTTCTGGGAGCCCTTTTGGGCCCCTCTCGGAGCTCTCTTGGAGCAGTCTTGGGGCGTCTCAGAAGCCGATCGGAAGCGAACACGCTCGGAGGCAACACTAACTGAATGTCCAGCAGGTGTGGGAAGGAGGTTGGCTTCTCCGGGGCGTCCCTGGGAGGCTCCGTGGCCACTTGGAGCTGTCTTGGGGCGCTGTTTATGCCTCTCGGAAGGTTGTTGCAAGTTATCTCGAGCCGTTTTCGGCAATCTTGTGCGATCTTGAAGGCCATCTTGGGTTGTCTGGGGGCCATCTTGGAGGCATGCATCTTCGGCCAACGGGGGCCCTTTGTTACCTCGCGACCACATGAGTAGCACCCCAAGTGTCAGTATGGGCAGGGGCCGGCATCGACAATCATCGGGAACCGATGCACACGCCAGATGGACGCGCGACGCAACCGAGGTGCGCCGAGCGTGCCATGGCACCCCCATCTCCCTCGTCGAACCGCAATGCAAAGTGATCGCGGCGGTGATCGTTTTTTTATTTGTTGTTTTGCCGGTCGGCGCGGGCCCTTGCCCCTCCCTCCCTCCCCCGTGGAGTAGATCTTTGCTGTTTTGGCGCCTGTTTCGAGCAGGTGGACGCACGGTCGCACTAAGCGGAGGTCCAAGGACAGACCCCCCCCCTCATTCCGCCCAATGTCGAAACGCCGAATAAAAAACAACGTTCCCAAGTGATCGCGGAGCGCCCGCGTGTGACCAAGATTTGCCGCAACGTGTGTTTCGTGTTGTTGATAATGTGTTGGCACAACCCTCCGTCATTGTCACAAGAAGCATTGCCGAGTCGCAAAGTGCGGTTTGCATTGTTTCTTGACAGAGTTGGGGGGGTCACGGTTCTGGAGGTTTGCCGGTCATGTTGGGGAGGGGTGTATAGTAACATGGAACAGCGGTAATTTTTCCCCGAAGGGGATGGAGGAGGTTGGAAGAATTGTGATTTGGTTGTTTGATTACCGCTACGTTGACCTAGTGTCTAGTGTCAGCACATTTGCGAGTATGCTGGTTTTCGCGTGTACCACGCGAGCGACACATTGATTCCATGTGCATCCATCTCCAGGTTCTTCCCCATATCCTAAGATGGGGCTCTTGTTTTTTTGCCGGCGCCTCCTCCTCCTTCTCCTTCCTCTTCTTCTCCTCATCATCCTCGTCCTCATACCTAGACTTACTCATGCACAGACTTACTCATACTCAGACCTTATCAGATTAACTTACGCATACTTAGACCTACTTATCCGTAAGGGCTTCACCCCCTGCCGCCGGCCCCCTCTCTCGGAGAATGGGCCATGGAAGTGCTAAGTCATGAGGCCTTGGCGCTGTCGTGAAGCAGTATCGAGACTTCATGCGAAGCCGATTCGCAATCAGCAAAACCAACTGATCACAAGAGGGGTTACCACACCTGGCGATTGGTAAGACGTGTATGGTTTACGGGCTTGGTTACCACACCTTGCGATTAAAGGGCCGAGGGAGTGCTCGCAGTTTGGGTTACCACGCCTTGCGATGGATGTGCGTGAAGGGTGGAACCGAATTTCAGAAATGTGGCAAATCCTTTGTGTTTTGGGGCCCTGACCCCGCGGATCTGCGTGAGGGGTGGCACCGAATTTCAGAAATGTGGCAAATCCCATGTGTTTTTGGACCCTGACCCCGCGGATCTGCGTGAGGGGTGGCACCGAATTTCAGAAATGTGGCAAATCCCATGTGTTTTTGGACCCTGACCCCGCGGATCTGCGTGAGGGGTGGCACCGAATTTCAGAAATGTGGCAAATCCTTTGTGTTTTTGGACCCTGACCCCGCGGATCTGCGTGAGGGGTGGCACCGAATTTCAGAAATGTGGCAAATCCCTTGTGTTTTTGGACCCTGACCCCGCGGATCTGCGTGAGGGGTGTTTATTTCGAGCCCCCCCAGCAATTCAGACAACGCGCCCAGGAGACGCTAAAAATCCAGTTTGGGCCTCCCCCCCCCTCGCGCGGTCAATCAATTAGTTACAGTAACCAGCAAGAAGCAGAACTGCAACACTGGAAACTACAAGCTACAACTGGTACAGGAAACTGCGAACCCGCGCCTACAGCCTGGTGGCCCCACAAGGGGGTTGGCGGATACTCAGACCTACTCATATTCAGATTTACTCATGCTGAGACTCACCCATACCCAGACTTACTCATACTCAGACACTCTCATTGTCTGACTTACTCAACACAGCAGATTGTGAGGATGTCTCAGGCGGTTGTCTTTTTTCCCAACCATCCTGTGGTGTTGGGTCCTCGTTTTGAAGAGACGGCGGCCCTCGTCTGCTCTCCTCTTCTCCTCCTCCTCTCCTCCTCCTCCTCCTCCTCCTCCTCCTCCTCCTCCTCCTCCTCCTCCTCCTCCTCCTCCTCCCACCATCATCATCGTCATCACCCATTTCGGCACACCCCTCACACGCTTCGTGGCCCCATAGGGAGCTCCGCCGAAGGTCCCAGTGGGTGTGCCCGCATGCGTCCCGCACATCCATTTCGGCACACCCCTCACACGTTTCGTGGCCCCATAAGGGAGCTCCACCGAAGGTCCCAGTGGGTGTGCCCGCATGCGTCCGCACACCCATTTCGGCACACCCCTCACACGCTTCGTGGCCCCATAGGGAGCTCCACCGAAGGTCCCAGTGGGTGTGCCCGCATGCGTCCCGCACGCCCATTTCGGCACACCCCTCACACGTTTCGTGGCCCCATAGGGAGCTCCACCGAAGGTCCCAGTGGGTGTGCCCGCATGCGTCCCGCACACCCATTTTGGCACACCCTTCACACGTTTCGTGGCCCCATAGGGAGCTCCACCGAAGGTCACAGTTGGTGTGCCCGCATGCGTCCCGCACACCCATTTCGGCACACCCCTCACACGTTTCGTGGCCCCATAGGGAGCTCCACCGAAGGTCTCAGAGGGTGTGCCCGCATGCGTCCCGCACTCCCATTTCGGCACACCCCTCACACGTTTCGTGGCCCCATAGGGAGCTCCACCGAAGGTCCCAGTGGGTGTGCCCGCATGCGTCCCGCACACCCATTTCGGTGCACCCGTCACACGTTTCGTGGGCCCATAGGGAGTTCCACAGAAGGTCCCAGTGGGTGTGCCCACATGCGTCCCGCACACCCATTTCGGCACACCCCTCACACGCTTCGTGGCCCCATAGGGGGCTCCAAGGAAGGTCCCAGTGGGTGTGCCCGCATGCGTTTCGCACACACATTTCGGCACACCCCTCACACGCTTCGTGGCCCCATAGGGAGCCCCACCGAAGTTCCCAGTGGGTGTGCCCGCATGCGTCCCGCACACCCATTTCGGCACACCCCTCACACGCTTCGTGGCCCCATATGGAGCTCCACCGAAGGTCCCAGTGGGTGTGCCAGCATGCGTCCTGCACACCCATTTCGGCACACCCTTCACACGTTTCGTGGCCCCATAGGGAGCTCCACCGAAGGTCACAGTGGGTGTGCCCGCATGCGTCTGGCACACCCATTTCGGCACACCCCTCACACGTTTCGTGGCCCCATAGGGAGCTCCACCGAAGGTTCCAGTGGGTGTGCCCGCATGCGTCCCGCACGCCCATTTCGGCACACCCCTCACACGTTTCGTGGCCCCATAGGGAGCTCCACTGAAGGTCTCCGTGGCACAGTCCGCACGTGTCTCCACCACCCAGTACACCTCCGTCGGAGGCCGTCGGGGTTCCGCGCCTCCCTCGCCCGTCGTCGCTCTGCCCCGCGGCAAGAGTCTTGCCCGCTATCAGCAAGCCAGCTAGCTCTCTTTGCTGCGCGCAGCGGACGACCCGCGCGCGTCGCTGGGACCCCTCCGGGGCGACCTGCGCGCGTCGCTGGGACTCCGCGCTGCGCTGCGCCCGCAGCTTTGGACTTTGAGTGCGCGGGCAAAGAGGGAGTAATAGAAGGGGAGGAAGCGGGCGCGATCCTCGCGGTGGCGTCGCGGCGCGCGGGCGATGCCGTCGGGGAGTCCCGGGGAAGTTCCTTGCGGCGGCCACGCCCAGCGTCACGAGTACTCAGAGGCAGTCATTCACAAATTATTAACATTCATTTACTACTGCACCATGCATTGGCATACTCGCATTCATGCACGTAGACTTCGCTCGCACGCAGATTAATTCTAGACGCTTCGCGTATCCCCACCAGCCCGTCCAGAAACGACGCCCAGGCGAGTAGAGGGTCGTCCTGAGGGGCTTTTCGGCGTCTTGGGTGCCTCGGGGGGGCCTCTGTGGGCCGTTCGGGGTCCTCTTTCGGGCCTCCTGGGGGCCTCTTGGGGCCTCTTGGGGCCATCTTGAGGCCTTTGGGGGCCTCCTGGGCGCTTCTTGGGGCAATCTTTGCCCCTTGGGTGCCTCTGGGGGGTCTCTTGGGGCCTCTTGGGGGTCTCTTGGGGCCCCCCTGGGGGCCTCTTGAGGGGCCTCTTGGGGCCATCTTGGGGCCATCCTGAGGGGATCTGGCAAAGAAAGCGGAAGCATTTTTTAGCGTCGCCCTTGTAGAGCCTTTAAAATCGCCTCCTGAACCCCTCTTGGGGTGTTCTTGGAGCGTTCGTTGCCGCTCTTGGCGCCGTCTTGTGGCTTTCTTGGGCCCCTTTTGGAGCTATCTTGAGCCATCTTAGAGCCATTTTGACGCCTCGGATGTGCATCGCAAGCGGATAAGTGAGAACACCAAAGACATTGATTTTCTTTTTAAGGTATTGAAGCATTTTGGCCTCTTGGAGGCATCCTAGTGATGCTCGTGTGAGTACTTGGAACCGTTTTGGGAAGCTCTTGGAGCGTCTTGGAACATCATGGGGACCATCTTGAGGCATCTTGCGCTACCTTGTGTCATCTTGGAGGTCATCTTGAGTTCCCTGAGGCCCTATTGGAGCCGTGTTGGGCCAATTTGGACGCTCTAACTACCCGCGGCCCCCCCTGTCCAGGTCAGTGGGGAGGGGGTAGGGGGAGGGGTAAACCCCTCCCCGAAGGGGAAGAAGGAGGGGTGGAAGAGGAAACGCTCGAAACCACCGACGCCCAGAGGGCTGGTGGGATTCACAGTCAGACGCACTCGCGCTCAGATTCACCCGCGCTCAGTCTCCCTACGTACTCAGATCCATCGTTTTCGTTCGCGTTGTGTACCACGCCATTCATTTTGGCACAGTTCGTTGCCCCACAGGGATCACCACCGAAAAACGGAATCATAATTGCGGTACTCACACTTGCATATGGTTGGGTCCTTCGCCTGGCGAATTTTCTGTCCCAACATCCTTCGCTTGGACAAAAGATTGTGAGGATGTCTCAGGCGGGGCGCTGGTTTCAGCACCGGGGAGCCGCCGAGGGGTACTGCACGGTCCCGTTCGCGGCCGTTGTGTTGGGATGTCTCAAGCGGTTTGCTTGTTGTCTGTCCCAACATCTTTCGTTTGGAGAGCAGATGTTGAGGATGTCTCCGGCGGGGCGCTGGTTTCAGCACCACTCAGGGGAGCCGCCAGGGGTATTGCACGGTACCGCTCGCGGCCGTTTTGTGGGGATGTTTCAAGCGGTTTCTTGTTTACTGTCCCAACATCCTTCGCTTGGAGAGCAGATTGTGTCTCCTGCGGGGCGCTGGTTTCAGCACGCCTAGGGAGGCCGCCGAGGGGTACTGCACGGTCCCATTCGCGGCCGTTTTGTGGGGGTGTCTCAAGCGGTTTGCGCGTTTTCTGTCCCAACATCTTTCGCTGGGAGAGCAGATTGTGAGGATGTCTCAGGCGGGGCGCTGGTTTCAGCACCCGGAGCCGCCGAGGGGTATTGCACGGTACCGTTCGCGGCCGTATTGTGGGGATGTCTCGAGCGGTGTGCTTTTCTTCTGTCCCAACACCCTTCGGTTGGAGAGCAAATCGTGAGGATGTCTCAGGCGTGGCGCTGGTTTCAGTATCCCCAAGGGGAGCCATCGAGGAATATTGCATGGTCCCGTTCGCGGCCGTTATGTGGGGATGTATCAGGCGGTTGTCCTTTTTTTCTGTCCCAACATCCTTCGCTTGGGGAGCAGATTGTGAGGATGTCTCAGGCGGGGCGCTGTTTTCAGCACCCCTCAGCGGAGCCGCCGATGGGTATTGCACGGTCCCGTTCACGGCCGTTTTGTGGGGATGTCTCAAGCAGTTTGCGTGTTTGCTGCTTTTGCGTTGTGTCCCGAGTGGCTCTCCCCGTTGCGTACGGCGGTCAAGGAGGAGTGGCCAGGTGTTGTTGGCGCAGAGTTTGTGTCACCGTGGGATGTTTCCGTGGTGCGTTCCAATCTTGTCGTCGTCAGCGGGAGAGAGGGAGCCTGAGAAGGTTCATTATCCCGCGTGCGTTGTGGGCTGGGGAGGGAACTCGAAAAGGTTCACTCTCTAGCTGCGGGGGAGGGAACTTGAAAAGGTCCACTTTCCCGCTTATGGCACATATGGCTAGACGTTCATTTAGATATCCTAAAAATAATATCACCCTTTAAAGAGGATGCACATATGGGGAGTTCCACGCAGTGAGTAATTGTGTGTTCTCTCGTTCTCTCTCTCTCTCTCCCTCTCACCCTCTCTTTGTTTCTTTTCCTGCGGCGTGCTTTCCTGAGGCGATCCCCGCGCTGATGTGCGGCAGGGACGTCATCGGCGCGCCCCCCCTCCCCTCGGGCCTGCCCAGCGCAGGCTTGCGCTTGGATGGGGGCACAACATGTCGGGAGACGGTCCCAGCTCGCGACGCGGACAGCGTGCAGGGTCTGCCGCGGTCGTTCATCTCGTCCTCCGTCTCCTACGCAGGAAGGCCATACCAACGTGCATCATGTTTGCCTCCAGAGTGCCCTGGGTTTCTTGGGCGTTGAAGGTTTCGTTATGGAAAGCATGACGCTGCCACGCCAAAATCAGTGGACGTCCAGGGGTCTCAGGGTTAGGTTTCGTGTGGAATGTGTCTTGTGGTCGAGCTCCTACTGTACTTTGTCATCCCTGCCCTCCCCCACGCCTCCTATCCCCTCCACCCCGTCCAGATGACGAGGATCAGAGATGGGGGACGGCGGAGGACGGTGGAGATGAAGGATGAGAAGGATCTGCGAAACACTCTCCAGGCTGCTGCCCGAAGTTTCCGCAACGTGAAAAAAGAAAAAGAGGATAGGTTTCTGATCTCGCCGCCTTTGATGATGATCATGATGGTGATACTGATGATGATGACAATCATCATCATCCTCATCCTCATCATCATCCTCCTCCTGCGGCTCCTCCCTCCTGCCTCCCACCCGCGCGGCAGCTGGAGCGCCGACACCCCCGATACATCGGGGGCCGCCTTCGCCGAGGGCATGCGGCCCTTCCGACCCCGGGTGCAACCGACAGCCGGGATCGCCCTCACCAGGAGCGGACGGCCTCCGATGCCCGCCGCGGTGGCAGCAGCTCGAGGTCGTTTGTCGGGCCAGTGTTCGGACATTGGAGCACATACCTTACCAGTGGCGGGCTGTTGTTGTTCCTGAATCCCAGGATTGTTTGAGGTTTGGGGACGACGTCGTGGTGGTGTGGTGTATACTTCCTCTGTCTGTTTCCTGGGGGAAGAAAGCATATGTACACCAGGGTCCCGTATACATCAGCAGCCGCTTTCTTGTGCAAATTCCAATACAGGGTTTGAATAAAGCGTCGGTGTATAGAGTTCGGTTTCCTACCTGTGCGAGCAGCAGCACTAAGATTGAGTGCCAGCCTCGATGGAGTGTGATCTATGATCTTGGTGGCGCCGTTCAAGTGTAGGCCCGTTCAACGTAGGCAAAGCGCGTGCGATCCCGCTGGACTTTCTGAACATAGCAAATGCCGTGTGTGGTGGGGAAGGCAATTAGAAACTGACCTGCGACTAGTCGACCCTTGCAATTCCTGATCCCCCTCCCTCTAGCTATTGGCGCAACCTGCAAGACCTTCCTAGCAATCTCCGTCGTCGTTACCTTCGTTTTCCTCCCGCCGCTAATCCTCCACCACCGTGTCGTCCGCATCCCTCTCCTCCCCATTTCATCCTACAGCGGAGGCTCATGCCAAGAAACACCCTGCTTGTCTCCAGGGTGCTCTGGGTTTCTTGGGTTTCGATGGCCTTGCGATGGACAGCGCGACGTTGCCACGCGAGAAATCGACGGACGTCTTAGGGTCTCAGGCCCGGGTCTCTTGCGGAAGGCTTCTTGTGGTCGGGCCCCTGCTGTATTCTCTTTCCGCCCTCCTCTGCACAGTCCGCCTGCTCCTCGTCCGCCTCTCGTCGTCCGCCTCTCGAATCCTCCTCGTCCGCCTCACGAATCCCCTTGGGTGAAGGCCTTCCTCGTCCGCCTCTCGAATCCTCGTCCGCCTCTCGAATCCTCGTCGTCCGCCTCACGAGTCCTCGTCGTCCGCCTCACGAGTCCTCCCTGCTCCTCACTGCTCCTCCTCGCCCGCCTCTCGCAGAACCCTCTTGGGCGAAGGCCTCGCGGCCGGCGCCGCCGACCCCTGAAGGGCGGGACTCCCCCCCCCCCCTCCCACGGGACCCCGGGGCTTGGACCTGGGCCGGCCGCCCCCCACAGGGGGTTCACCCCCCAAAAACAAAGCCGAAACAACAGTGAACAAAAATTAGAAAAAATCGGGCGCCTCGAAAAAATCGATAACATCAAAAAAATAGTTTAAAACAGAAAAGTCGGGCGTCTCGAAAAAGGATCGAGGCGCCGGTTTCTCACAGGTTTTGGCCTCTCGGGGCCCTCGCCGGGCCCCGCCAGGCAGGCTGGCGGGTCCCGGAGACCCAGACATCGGGCGCCTCGAGAAGAAAGATCGAGGCGGAGGCTTCTCGCAGCTCTGGGCCTCTCGGGGCCCTCGCCGGTGCCCCGGGGGCGTCAAGAACACGATCCTCGGGATGAGGAAGCCGATCCCAGGGGAAGCGGTCGGGAGGCCGGGGGGCCCGGGTCTCGAAAACGTCGAGACGTCGGGTGTCTGGGTCCCCCCTTGTCCACAGGGACCCCCCCCCCACCGGATGCGCCGGGACCCCCGGGGAGCGGCAATCTCACCCAGGACGCCCTCCTCCCCCCCCCCGACTCCCTACCCGGCCCCCTTCCCCCCCCCGTACCCCCCTTCCCCTACTAAACTTCCCCCCTGTCAGGGGAGGGAATAAAAGGGAAGGGAATCAACTTAACAACGACCTGTCTTTTTTCTGTTCGTTCCTGATTTTCCTGGGACTGGCGACGACCCCGACCACGACCCCGACCACGACCACGACCACGACCACACGATGAACGACCACGACGACCACGACGACCACGACGACGACGATGACGACGAAGAAAAAGGGACAAGGACGACGACGACGACGACAGCGTCTCATACACGCCGCCGAAGGGTCGGCGGATTCCACAGCCTCATCCTCCTCTTCCTGTCCTCACCTCATCGTTCGGGAGAGGGAAAAACACACAGACACAATTCATCGTCGATCTCCCAGAAAATATGGGAAAATATGGGAAGTGGGGGGGAAGACAAAACCCCCGAAAAGATAAGAAAGTGTGGAGCATATTTTTATCTGTGTGCATTTATTTGTGTGCCCCAGGGCCCCTTCAATGACGTCCCTCCTCTCTGCTCGCCCCCCTCCTCCCCCCCCTTCGGGTGTTGCCGGAGGTGGCCCCGGTCCAAGGTAACCCCCGCTTCTCCATGGAGGCCACGGTGGCCCGCAGATCGCCCCCCCCCAAGAGGCTCAGAGGGCCCCCCGGAGGTTCCCGAATGATCCCGGCGAGGGGCCCGACCATGTGCAGATGTGAGTAATTACCGCAAGGCAGGCGAGACGAAGGAGGGGGAGCTCCCTGTGGAGCCACGAGGCGAATGAGGGGTGTGCCGAAGTAGGCCTGGGGACGCAGGTGGGCCCTGTTGCTGGGGACTTCGGTGAAGCTCCCTATGGGGCCACGGAGCATGTGAGGGGTGTGCCGAAATAGGCTTGGGGACGCAGGTGGGCTCTGCCGCTGGGGCCTTCGGTGGAGCTCCCGATGGGACCACCACGCGCGTGAGTGGCGTGTCGAAATGGGCCTGGAGAGTCATGCGGGTGTGAGGCGTGCATAATTCCTCCGCGCCAGTTCGGCGCACCCCGCACACATGTCGTGGACCCAGAAGGAGCTCCACCTAAGGCCCAATTATCCTGACTGGCATACCTTCTCCACGCGATGTCAGCGTACCCGTCACACGCTTCGTGACCCCATGAGAAGCTCCACCTAAGGCCCAGAAATCCCGTTTCGCATGCTATCCCCAATTCGTTTCGGCGCGCCCCTCACAGGGCTTCGTGGTACCCCTCGCGGTACTCGCAGTTGTAGATGATTGAGCATCCTGTGGTGTGTTGGGTTCTCGTGTTGAGTCAGCAGCGCCCCACGTCTCCTCCTCCTCCCCCTATCCTATCATACCTTATCCTATCCTCTCCTATCCTATCCTATCGTATCCTCGCTTTCCTTCCCATCCTCCATCCTCTCATCCTTGCATCTGCCATTCTCCGCCTGTTCATCTCGGCACAACCCTCATGCGTTTCGTGGCCCAACGTGGAGCTCCGAAGATAGTCCCAGCTGCAGGGCCCACATGCGTCCCCAGACTCATTGTGGCACACCCCTCACACGTTTCGTGGCCGCATGGGGAGCTCGACCGACGGCCCCTGTCGGCGGGGTCTGCATGTATCCCCGAAACGGTTTCGGCACAAGCCCGGATTTGGGGGGCTTTAGGTGGAGGTCCCCATGGGGGCAAGAAACGTGCCAGGGGTGCGCCAGAGAGGCGTGGAGAAGGTATGCGAGCCAGGATTGTCGGGCCTCAGGAGGAGCTCCCGATGGGGCCACGAAACGTGTGAAGGGCGCGCCAACATGACATGCGGAGGGCAGAAGCAGGAGGAGGGGGGCGGGGAGGAGTGAGTGAGTGAGTGAGTGAGTGAGTGAGTGAGTGAGTGAGTGGGAGAGAGAGAGAGAGGTAGAGAGAGAGTGAGTGAGTGAGTGAGTGAGACGCGGGGCGCTGTATTTTCAAAACGAGGACCCAACATCACAGGATGGCTGGGGAAAAACGCGAGAAGCCGTGGGGGGGGGGGGGGGGCGCACCTTGGGCCGAGATCACCTCTGGCGACCTCCCCGCGGGCGATGGGCGGCCACCCCGCCTTCGTCGTCGTTGTCGCCGCCGCCGTCGTCGTCCTCGTAATCGTAGTCCTCGTCCTCGTCCTCGTCCTCGTCGTCCACGTCGTCCTCGAAGTCTTCGTCGTCCTCGTCGTCCTCAAAATCCTCATCGTCGTCCTCGTCGTCGTCCTCGTCGTCGTCATCCTCGTCCTCGTCGTCGTCGTCCGCGTCGTTGCCGCTGTCGTCGTCCTCGTCCTCGTCCTCGTCCTCGTCGTCCACGTCGTCCTCGTCGTCATCGTCATCCTCGCCGTCCTCGTCGTCCTCGTCGTCCTCGTCGTCGTCGTCCTCGTCGTCATAGTCGTCGTCGTCGTCGTCGTCGTCGTCGTCCGCGTCGTCGCCGTTGTCGTCGTCGTCGTCATCGTCGTCCCTCCCCTCCACCTCGTGCTTTACTCCTTCTCCCCCTCGACCGCAGAGAGGGCATGGGGGGCGGCCCGCCGAGCCCGCTCGGCAAGGGGTGGCCCAGACGGGCTCCGGCAAGACGCTGGCCTACCTCCTGCCCATGATCAGGCGCACGGCCTCGCCGCCGGACACCTGCGCGCGTCCACTCCTCTCGGCGACTGCAATACAGTGCCGTTTTCAATACATGCTCCGCGTGCGGATCATGTATTAACCATACAGGGATGTAGTATTACAAACAACGATGAGTTCATGCACAAATTCATTCATAAATGAATCATGCATGAAAAAATCCTACATTTTAAAATTCCTATTATTAAAAACTGCCACGTAGGGGGACGAACACTGACATAGACATGAAAGCTCGGAGTTCCGCGCAGATTTCTCGGATATCGGCGCTGGAGCCCCCCCCCCGGCGGCGCGCTCCGCGCGCCCAGGGGGGGGGCGAGCGCCGATATCCGAGAAGCCCGCGCGGAGCGCCAAAAGTGTATGTTTAGGGTTATGATGCTCCGACCTACTTTCGGGGGTGGACAGACCTCCTACCCTGACACGTCGATTAAAGACTTGGTTGTTTTCGGTTCGCGAGAGGGCGTCGCGGCCGTCATTTCTGCGGGTCCAGGTCCGTCGGTTTCGGTCCCAGGCCGTTTTCACTAAGGGGAGGTCTATTAAGGGAGGTTTGTCCACCGCCGATCTCGGAGACTGCAATGGGGGGACGAGCACTGACATAGACATGACAGCTCGGAGTTCCGCGCGGATTTCTCGGATATCGGCGCTGGAGCCCCCCCCCCCCCCCGGCGGCGCGCTCCGCGCGCCCAGGGGGTGGCCCAGCGCAGATATCCGAGAAACCCGCGCGGAGCGCCAAAAGTTTATGCTTAGGGTTATGGTAGCGGAACAAAAAGTGGCATAAACATAAAAACTCGGAGGTCCGCGCGGATTTCTCGGACCGCCGCTGGGGCCCCCCAGCGGCGCCTCCGGCGCCGCCCCTGGCGCGGTCCGCGCGGCGCCAGGGAGGGGGTCCAGCGCCGATCCGAGAAATCCGCGCGGACCTCCGAGTTGTTTTGTTTATGCCATTTTTTGTTCCCCTATATGATGCTCCAACCTACTTTAGCTTTGATCACGAGAAAGAATTTCGAGCACCCAAAACAGGTGCCGAAACTCAAGGGTTTTCACGCGTCGGGCCCTGGGGGACACTCGCCCGACACTGTCTCAACACTCTTTTGGCACTTTCTCGGGTGCTCGAAACTATTTCTGGGATGTGGTCCTCAAGTAGGATGGGAACAACATAAGTTTAGGGCGCCTTTCCTTCTTCTGTGCAAAGGGTGTGGTCGCGCCGGGGTGTGGTTTGCGAGCTGGGTCGTTGGGGCCTGGGGCGCACGATGCTGTCCTCGTCGAGCCGCTTCGTGGCGCGGCAGGCAGCTCTGTCGAGGTTTTCGCCCGCCCCCCAGGATGTCCCCCAGGGTCCAAGCAGCGGCGAAGCGTCCTGGCGTGCCTAGAGCCCCACCGAACAATGTTCTAAGAACCTTTGATGGTCCCGCGAGATGTTCTGAGAACATTTCTGGCTGGGACTGTCTTGTTTTACAGTCTGGGATCTGAAGAAGGAACCCTGTTCGTTGGGGAGGGGCTCCGGTTTCCTTGATTGTTTCACAGCTTGCCTTAGGTTTTCCGTAGGTTTTCTATGGGAGATCGAACTAGAATTGACGGGAAAAAGGGGCCTCGTTCCTTATTTAGGGTTCATTAGGTCAACGCCCGGGCTGTATCACATTGGGTTTATGTTCTAAGAGCATTGTTTTTGTTGTTCGAACATGCTTGGGTTCTAAGAACATGTCGTGGCAGGACCATAGGAATGCCGGGGCGGTCGGTCCCTGCTCCAAGGGTGTCCGGTGCAGGCCAGACCCCCCTTCGGAGTCGCCGGTCCTCGCTCGGCTTCCCGGCCCTGCTCCATTCATCGGGGGCGGAAAAGAGGGGGGTGATGACTAAGGGGGGGGTGGATATCATGGCGCGGGCCATGATATCTCCGCAGATTTCATGGCGCCTCTTCTTATTCCATTGCGTCCCAGGCCCCCCCGCTGGGCCGCGCACATGCCGCTGGTCATGATTTGCACCCCCCCCTCTTGGACACCCCCCTCTCGGCCGCTCCCGAATTCAGACTGCGCTATGGGGCTGTTCTCTGCAGTTGGATTCGGCTAGGCTCGCGCGGGTGCCTTCAGCCAGGAGCTGCCAACCAGATAGACAGTTGAGTAGTTCCGTGCGCCCATCGTGCCGCTCATGTAATCTTGTTGGGGCCTCACGAACCCCTTAGGGAAGCGGAGACGGGGTAACAACAGACGGGGTAACAGGAAACGGCTGGTTCGACTGGTTCGAGGCAACAAGCGCGCACTTTGTTGCAGTGCAGTTTTTTCGGCTATGGCGTTCAAGGCATCACCTGCGACATCTCGTCTGCGTTGGAAATGTTCGGCTCCTGCCTTTCAACTGTTTGTTTTGGGTCCTGTGCTAACCGGTCATTGTCTCCGCAACTAGTTGCAGAACAAATGCAGTGCAGTTTTCTCGCGTTGCAGGACGAGTGTCGTGCAGATGTTTCTTCTGGCCGTTGTAGCCTCTCCGTCTGGATCCCATGGTGGGTCCGTTACCCCGTTCAGTCGTTACCTTCACGCTTGTCCGTGCGATGAGAGTGGCCGTGCAAATCCGACGTGCGCACGAGAGCTGTATTCGTGCAGACCCGAGGATGTGTGGTCGGACGAGGCTACTGTTCGCACAAAGCTGCTTGTTCGCACGGGCACGGTGCTCGCGCGACACGGCGACGCGCCCCGTTCAGCGGCCTCGGCGGCGTGGAGGTGGCCTCCTCACCCATCGCGCGGCCAGCGCGCCGCTGCGATGCGAAGGGACGATCAGGAGGCCCAGGCTTCCGCGTGCGCCCAGTCCTCGGGGGAGGCGCCACAGCGGAGCGCCGCGACGCCACTGCCGACGGAACGGAAATCGGTCCCAGCCTCAACGGGACCCCCCCCCCCCCCGCCAGGCAGGGCGCGCGCGCCGCGCTCCGCGAGCTCCGCCCGCGGCGCTCCTCGAGCGGCCCGCGGGGCTCCTGGCGGCCTGCCGCGCCCAGGGCCAGCACCACTCGCCAACCCTCAGGAGGAAAAGAAACACACAGACACAACTAATCCTCGATTTCCCAGAAAATATGGGAAAACATGGGAAGTGGGGGGAAGACAGAAACCCAGAAAATATGGGAAACTATGGGGAATCGTTTTATTTGTGTGTATTTATTTGTGTGTCCTGGGGCCCCTTCAAACCCGCCCTGAGGAGGAGGGGCGTCGGTGGGGTGCTCGGCGAGCACCGTCCGGCAGCGCTGGGGGCGGCTGGGGCCAGCGCGCTCGGTCCGCCAGCGCGGCCATGTTCGGCATCGTTTCTCCGATCTCCATCCCCATCTCCATCGCCCTCGAGACGAGAAAGGTTCAGATCCCAACCGGACGCGTGAGATCCCAACCGGACGGTTCAGATCCCAACCGTCAAGGACACGTGGGACGCGTGAGATCCCAACCACTTTGGAGCCTCTGAAAAGCTCCAACCTCTGCAAGGTTCTGAGAGCCACTGCGAGCCTCTGGGAGATTCTGCGAGATTCTGAGAGATCCTGAGAGATTCTGAGAGATTCTGAGAGAGTCTGACAGATCTCGAGAGATTCTGACAGATTCTGACAGATTCTGAGATATTCTTAGAGATTCTGAAGATTCTGAAAGATTCTGAGAGATTCTGAAAGATTCTGAGACATTCTGAGACATTCTGAGACATTCTGACAGATTCCTGAGAGATTCCTGCGAGCCTCCGAGAGATTCCTGCAGAGATTCGGAGAGATTCTGAGAGACTACTACTACTACTACTACTACTACTACTACTACTACTACTACTACTACTACTACTACTACTACTACTACTACTACTACTACTACTACTACTACTACTACTACTACTACTACTACTACTACTACTACTACTACTACTACTACTACTACTACTACTACTACTACTACTACTACTACTACTACTACTACTACTACTACTACTACTACTACTACTACTACTACTACTACTACTACTACTACTACTACTACTACTACTACTACAGTACTACAACTGCTGCTGCGACTACTTACGACACTACTATCAGACTACTACTACTACTACTACTACTACTACTACTACTACTACTACTACTACTACTACTACTACTACTACGACTACTACTACTACTACTACTACTACTACTACTACTACTACTACTACACTACTACTACTACTACTACTACTACTACTACTACTACTACTACTACTACTACTACTACTACTACTACTACTACTACTACTACTACTACTACTACTACTACTACTACTACTACTACTACTACTACTACTACTACTACTACTACTACTACTACTACTACTACTACCAGTACTACTACTACTACTACTACTACTACTACTACTACTACTACTACTACTACTACTACCACTACAACTACCACTACTACTTCTACCACTACTACAATTAAGCAAAAGACGCGCAAGATCCCAACCGCAATAACTCAGGCGTAAATCTGCTCCTGTAAGGTGTCCATCGCAATTTCAGATAGCAATGAACAAGTATGGTATTTTTTTCAATATGTTTTCTTTATTCGCTTCCTCCTCGGTTGGGATCTGACCGTGCCTGGTGTTTCAGACGGTTGGGATCTGAACCGTCCGGTTGGGATCTCACGCGTCCGGTTGGGATCTGAACCCATCGCCCCTCGAGACCCCCACCAAAGTACCACCCCAGTTGGGGAGACATCCTTCGAAACCCGAAGAGAACTACCTATATCCCCATCTAGGGGGGTACATCGGCCAGTGGGGCCCTGGCCACGCCGCTGGGGATGGGGATCGGTTCAGCGATACTCACAACTGCGAGCGCGGGGGCTGCGCCCCGGTGAGCGAAGCCTCCACTGGCAGCCGCGCGCGTGCTGTCACGCGCGCGCGGGCGGGCTCCCAGCGGGGGCAGGCCCAGGATCTGTGTGTTCAGGTCGGCGCATGCCGCGCCGCAGTGCGGACACGCCGCCCGGCGTCCCCACTTTTCATAGCACCCCGCCCTTGTCAGCCGACAAAGTAGTTGACAAGGAAATCAATCGTGATCAAAAACGTGCCCGTAGTTGTGATCGAAAACCTCGTGCGACCGAAAATGTGACCGAAGTCGAACATCGTCTTGGCTTCGAACCAAACATTTCGATCACACCTATGCGCGGCCGGAGTTGTTCGGGCGCAAGGCTCGGTCGCACCAAGGCAGAGATTCGGGCACCGTTTCGGTCACGACACGTCCCTGTGAGAGACGAGGCCACGTGACACGTTGCCGCCACAGCCTCCGCGACGACGTTCCCAGAGAGCACGGCGCAGAGTGCGCCGGCTGCGTCGCCCGCCAGCTCGCCGCTGCCGAGGAGCCGCCAAGTGGCCCACCGCTGGCGGCCGGGTGCCGAAAGCTGGCGCGCCGCTCCGCCGCCTCGCGCGCCTCGTGGGCCACCCAGGCTCCGAGAAACGCCGTGCCGAGGCAGGGCGCGGTGGGCCCGGCGCCCGCCACCAGGGGCGGCGGGGACGCGCGCCCCACACTCGATGGCCTGCCCCAGGCTCAGCGCTGCCACGCTCTGGAGCGCCGCGCCTACGGGGCCGAAGTTCAATGTCGTTCAACCGACCCCCATCCCCATCCCCATCCCCTTCGAGACCCCCACCAAATAGCCACCCCAGTTGGGGATACACCCCTCGAGGCTCTAAGGGAACGGCCTATATCCCATCTAGGGGGGTGTTAAACGATACTCAGAAGTTGCGGCCGTGCCCGGCAACCACATCGCTGCCGGCGCGCCTCAGGAGCGCCGTCGGGAAGCGGCGCCTGCGGAGCGCTGGGGCGACCTGCCATGATGCTGCGATGGCCGCCGCCGCCGCTGGATAGAGCCGCCGCCTCGGGGCCGAGCTGCCGAGCACGATCTCCGCGGCCGCTGGGAGGCTGCCCCGGCAAGCCGCGTGCCTCGCCGCAGCGCGAAGCCCCGCCATTTCCTGCACGGGGGGCAGCCCGCACGCCGCGCCACAGCCCTCGGCATCGCTCGGACGTGTGCGTTTTTCCTTCGGCGAGGACCATCGAGGAGCATCCTCGATCATTTGGCGAAAAAAACCACGCACGACACCGAAAAAAACACACGGAATGGACGTCCGAGCGATGGCGAGAGCCCCGCGGCCGTGCCGGCGGCGGCGCCCAGCAGGCAGCGCCGGCGGAAGCTGAAGGCAGCCGGCCGACTCCCCAGCAGAATTCAGCGCGAGTGTGTGTTCCCCTCTCTCACAATTCGGGGGGCGGCCAAGAGGGGGGTGATGACTAGGGGGGTAGGATAGATATCATGGCGCTGGCCATGCAATTTCCTCAGATATCATGGCGCCTCGTCTTATCACAATACGTCCCTGGGCCGCGCACATGCCGTCGGCCATGATTTGCGCCCCCCCTCTTGGACGCCCCCCTCATGGCCGCCCCCGAAAAAGCGCGAATGTGTTTTCGCCTCTCTAACAACACACATTCGCGTTGTTGTCGGGAAGGAATCCGGGATGGTGGCCTTGCCAGGGCGGGGACCTGCTCCAGCAGATAGATGGCACGACGTCGCGGAGGGCGGTGGTTGACGCACTGACTACCTTCCCTCGGCGCCGAGGTACACCCGCAGCACAAGTTTCAAGTTGACTTGATTTGTTACATCTGGTCACGTTGGGGCACATGTTCCGCCGCCGTGCTTGTGGAAGTTGCGCAGCGGAGCCGCAGCGTTGCGAGGTCGCGGCTTTCATGGCTCTCGCGTTGCCTCGTTTGACGCTGGCTCCCAGTACCGTTGGGGAGGTCGGTCTTGTAGTCGGGGATCATGAAAGCTTCGGTTTCCCAAACCGCAAACAGTGCTTGCACTACGAGATTATTCTCTGGGTGCTAAGGAAGAGGATTGTCATGCCGAGTGTTCGCCATGTTTCTCCCCGTTGCTGCCTGTGGGCGTATGCCGAGGATTCGTTAATTAAGTTGCCCCCCTGCGTGGATGATCCTGTCGAGGACTCGCCACGCTGCCGCGTCGTGGCTTCCCGTTGCAGCCCTGCGTGGGTCTGCCGAGGACTCGCCGCGCTGCCGCGTCGCTGCTGCAGCGTGCGATGGGTGGGAGTGCCGAGGAGTCGCCACGCTGTCTCGGCCCGTTGCCGCCTGTGGTGGTGCCCCGAGGAGTCGCCGCGTTGCCGCCACGTTGCCGCCCCCTCGCTGCCCCCGCCTCACCACATAGTCTTACACCACACAGCCTGCGCCACGCAGCTCGTACACCACATAGCTTGCACCACGCGAATGGCACCACGTGGCTACACCATATAGCTTGCACCACATAGCTTGCACACGTAGCTGGCACTACGTAGCTCATCATGCACAACTCACACATCCACAGTGCCATAACTTACTGCTTGGGGTCCACGCTGGTTAACAGGTACGCGTCTCATCACACCTCCTGTCCAGGAAGTGGCTTGATGCCATCGTGCCCCCCCTCCCTCCCCCCCGGCAGCCGCCAGGCATATCTTGGACCAGCCCAAGATCTTGGACGGCGACGGCCCGATCGGCTTTATCGCCGCGCTCTTAAGGGCGGGGGCCCATGCGGCACAGAACGCCTTTCGTTTCGCGCTGCAGGAGGGTGTCCAGGGCGGGTCCAAGAACTTCTCGCGGGCCCATGCACGTTGATGTTGATGTACATGCAGTTTTTAGAATCCAGTACAGATGGCGACGGTGCGAACGTGGACGACCATACTAACCATGACGTCGACGACAGAGGTGGTGGTGGTAATGATGCTGATGGTGATGATGATGATAATGATGATGATGCTGATGCTGATGATGATGATGATGATGATGATGATGCTGATGATGATGCTAATTGTGCTGAGTATGCTAATGATGATGACGCTGATGATGCATATGATGATGATACGGATGATGATGACGATGATGCTGATAGTGTTGACGGTGATGATGATAATGCTGAGTATGATGGTGATGATCATGATGATGATCATGATTATGATCATGATGATGCTGATGATGATAATGTTGATGTTGATGTTGATGATGATGATGATGCTGATGCTGATGATGACGATGATGATGATGATGATGATGATGATGATGGTTATGGTGATGGTGATGACGATGCTGATGATGATGGTATGATGCTCATCGGGTTTCTGAGGGCGTCCAGAGATATCTTCAAAAGTGTGTCGGACCGCTTCTCGCACTCAGTTCGGTCAGAGGGCCGCCGCGAGGAGGGAAGAGGGAGAGAGACGAGGACGGAGGGGACAGGGCAGGAACCAGGAGCAGTCCTCCTCCTCCCTCCTCCTCCCCCCCCTCTCTCATCGCCCTCTTCCCCCTCGTCGTCGTCCTCCTCCTCCTCCTCGTCCCGACTCGGCGCGTCGCTTCACGTGCTCGCTGCTCCTCTCCCGTCGCCCTCGCCCTCTCCGTCGTGCTCCTCCTCTCGGCCCGCCCTCCCCAGACATCCCACGTCTTGATTGTTTCGAGACACCTCCTCCTCCTCCTCCTCCTCCTCCTCCTCCTCCTCCTCCTCCTCCTCCTCCTCCTCCTCCTCTTCGTCCTCCTCCTCCTCCTCCTGCTCCTCCTCCTCCTGCTCCTCCTCCTCCTCCTCCTCCTCCTCCTCGTCCCACTCCTCCTCCTCCTCCGGGCCTCCGACCCCCCGAACAAATCCCCGGGACCGGTTTGTTCGAGACGCTCGGTGTCTGGGTCCCCCTCCTCCCGGCGGAGCGCAGCTCGCTCCAACAGACGGCGCTCCAAAGACCCCCGCGCCGCGCACATCGTGGCCGGGCTTTGTCCCCGAGACGCAGTCGGCCTCCACCTGGCCACGCGCAGAAGGGGGCAGGGGGAGGGGGGAAGGCTTCTTAGAAGCACCCCTGCTTCTTAGAAGGCGCGGGCCTTCTTTGTAGATGTAAGGCCGGCGCCTTCTAAGAAGCAGCCTACTTCTAAAAAGCCTTCCCCCCTCCCCCTACCCCCTTGTGCGCGCCGCCAATCCACTGCCTTCCCCCATCCTTCCTACAGCATTACACGCCGCTCGTTGAAAGTGGGTATTCTCGGGGGTGGACAGAACCCCAACAGTGACACGTCGATTAGTGAATTGTCCGTTTTCGGTTCTCGAGAGGGCGCCGTGGCCGTTATTTTCCAGGCTTGCGCCCGCCAGGTTTGGGCCTCAGGTCGTTTTCACTAAACCACGTTTTGCTAAACCTCGTTTTCCCCTTTTTGGGCCTCCTGGGAGGCCCTCGTCGCCACCGCTGGATTCGCCTTGAAATCCTGGTCAGAACGCACCCCGGGAGAGGTCCAGGGAGTAGCGGTATCGGTACCTTCTGGTTTCCCCATGTATTTTTTGATTCCCCAGATCCCAATTTCTTTCAAGCAAGCGCCTTCTTACTTCAAGAATCGCTATTCGTTTGCTGTGTTTGGTGATTCTCTGGGAGGGCCTGGACCCAACCTGCTTGCTCCGCCTTCCTACGTCATGTCTTTGTTGCCGTTTTCCGACTGGCGTGTATAGTTAATCCAGGCCTCCCAAGTGGGGTCACAGCAGATGGTCGGAAGGTCGCTCCGCATCGCCGAGGCATCGATGATCACGCTGTATTACAGCGTGATGTGGAAACAGATTTTCTCCACACCGACGTGTCCGATGCTTCGCCGATGTCGCCGATGCATCACTGATGCATCGGCGATGCGCCGCAATACTCCGACCCCGTCTACTCGGACCCAATTCGGGAGGCCTCTGGTCAAGACGCTGAATTAAGGACCACACTTCGGGCCAGGGCTGGACCTGAGCGCTGTTTTGCTGGACTTCGGCTGTGTTCTGTTTTCCGTTTTGGGAGGGCGACGCAGGAAAACAGGTGGAGCAGAACGAAACAACAAAACGAAAACACAACTCGACAAACAACGTTTACAGTCAACCCGCATAGTAATGATGGGCAACCTTCTCAAGGGTAACCTTGCATCCTTGCCTCCTCGGTCCATCCTTGGCCACTTTCGTATGCTCGAAAAGCTTCACAATGGGCGTCCAAGGCCCTTGCATCCTTAGCGCGCATCCTTACTGTACTGGTCGACTGTACAGTGTCGTTGTTAATACGTGCTCCGCGTGCGGATCATGTATTTAAAACTGCAGGGAGTTAGTACAAAAAAACAACGATGAGTTCGTGCATTCATGTATGCATAGTTCAGTCATGTATTAAACATCCAGGGTTTTTTTTAATGTATTAAAAGCTGCCCTGCAGGTCCAGCCCTGCTTCGGGCTTGGGGGGGGGGGAGGGGGGGCTCGGGCCTGCGGGCCGCTCCTTAGAGGTCCAGGCCGGGGAGCCTCCAGTGCCGTTTTTTGATCCATGCTCCGCGTGCGGATCGTGTGTCAAAGATGCAGGGGTCTAGTTCTGAAAACAACGAGGAGTTCGTGCATGAGTTCATCCATACATGAATCCCATGCCCCTATTTGTCGTGTTAGATTATAATTTACATGGTGAAGTATTCCAATTCATCCAATTAGTCCAACGAGGAATTCATACGTCAAATTTACGTGATCTAGTACCAAAATCAAGGGCTCCCCCGAGGGCGCGAAGTTATTCGCGCTTCGCGCTTCGCGGTCCTCGTTCCTCCTCCCCCTCCTCCTCGTCCTCCTTTTCTCCCTTTGGGGGGGCGGCGCGAGAGCGCGAAGTTATTCGCGCTTCGCGGAGCGCGAAGCGCGAAGTTGGGAGCCCTAGCAAAATCCTACACTGTAGAAAACCCAATGTATTCAAACCTGCCCTCCAGTCGTGGCCGAGGCCCGCCGTGGCCAGCAGAGCCCCCCCGCGCTCCTCGGGCCGCGGGCCCTCCCGGGGGGCCGCACGGCGACGGCACCGCCGGGCCTCCCCAGAGCTCGCCCCCTCTCCCTCCCCTCCCTCCCCCCCTCCCTCCCCTCCCTCCCTCCCTCCCTCCCCCCTCCCCCTCCCCTCCCTCCCTCCCTCCCTCCCTCCCCTCCCTCCCTCCCCTCCCTCCCTCCCTCCCCCTCCCTCCCTCCCTCCCTCGCCCAGCTCGCCTCTCCCTCCCACGCTCGGGAGCCTCGAGCCGGGGGTCGCCCTAGCCCTACGAAACAATGATCCAGGAGCCTTTTTTTCCCAACCCTCCTGCGTTGGGTACTCGTTTTGAATAGAGCACTGCGGTCTCCACCTTCCTTCCTTCCCGCCTCCTCCTCCCCTCTTCCCTCTTCCTCTCCTCTCTTGCTTCCCTTCTCCGCCTCTCTTCGCTCCTCCTCTTCTCTCTTGCATCCCTTCTCCTCTCTTCGCTCCTCCTCTCTTGCTTCCCTTCTCCTCCTCTCTTCGCTCCTCCTCTTCTCTCTTGCCTTTTACGTCATCCCTTTGGGGCTGCGATCTGTGAAACTGTCGCCACTTTCGAGGGCTGCTGGTGGGTCCAGCGGAGTGAGGCACCACGCAGATTCAGATTAGACCTCGCCATCCCTGGGGGGCTGCGATCTGCGAAACTGTCACCACTTTCGAGGGCTGCTGGTGGGTCCAGCGGAGTGAGGCACCACGCAGATTCAGATTAGACCTCGCCATCCCTGGGGGGCTGCGATCTGCGAAACTGTCGTCACTTTCGAGGGCTGCTGGTGGGTCCAGCGGAGTGAGGCACCACGCAGATTCAGATTAGACCTCGACTTTCGAGGGCTGCTGGTGGGTCCAGCGGAGTGAGGCACCACGCAGATTCAGATTAGACCTCGCCATCCCTGGGGGTTTGCGATCTGCGAAATTGTCGTCACTTTCGAGGGCTGCTGGTGGGTCCAGCGGAGTGAGGCACCACGCAGATTCAGATTAGACCTCGCCGTCCCTACGCAGATTCAGATTAGACCTCGCCATCCCTGGGGGGCTGCGATCTGCGACACTGACGCCACATTCGAGGGCTGCTGGTGGGTCCAGCGGAGTGAGGCACCACGCAGATTCAGATTAGACCTCGCCATCCTTGGGGGGCTGCGATCTGCGAAACTGTCGCCACATTCGAGGGCTGAGGGTGGGTCCAGCGGAGTGAGGCACCACGCAGATTCAGATTAGACCTCGCCATCCCTGGGGGGCTGCGATCTGCGACACTGACGCCACATTCGAGGGCTGCTGGTTGCGAAACTGTCGCCACATTCGAGGGCTGCTGGTGGGTCCAGCGGGGTGAGGCACCACGCAGATTCAGATTAGACCTCGCCATCCCTGGGGGGCTGCGATCTGCGAAACGGTCGCCACATTCGAGGGCTGCTGGTGGGTCCAGCGGAGTGAGGCACCACGCAGATTCAGATTAGACCTCGCCATCCCTGGGGGTCTGCGATCTGCGAAACGGTCACCACTTTCGAGGGCTGCTGGTGGGTCCAGCGGAGTGAGGCACCACGCAGATTCAGATTAGACCTCACCATCCCTGGGGGTGGCTGCGATCTGTGAAACTGTCACCACTTTCGAAGGCTGCTGGTCAACCGCGTCAACCCGGGCGACACGGGGGGCATTCACGGGATGCTGCCGCTGCACGTGGGCATGCGCATACGCCTGCTGGAGCACCTGGACCTCGACAAGGGGCTCGTCAGGGACGCCGAGGGCGAGGTCGTGCACGTGGCCATCAACCCGAAGGATGCGGGCGTGGTGGAGAGAGCCAAGGCCGAGGGAGGTCGGGCGTACCTGCGGTACCTGCCGTACGGCGTGTGGGTGCGCATGGACAAGTACAAGGGTGGTCCCTGCGGAAAGAAGCTCAAGGAACTCGATGACAGCATCGACGCTGCGAACGCAGCGGGCCTCGTCCTCATCGAGCCACAGAGCTCGAGCCCGTTCGACTTCCGCAAGTACAAGGTCACGCGCACTGGCTTCGTCATCTCCCACGCCGAGGTCCTGACGTCCACTGCCTGCCAGGGCCGCACCATGCACCGCGGAGTCATTGTTGACGCAGGGTGCAAGGATGCGAACGACCTGGACGCTCTGTGGCTGCACCTCCTACGTGATGCTGTCCAGGGCGACGACGATAGACAACCGACTGATGGTGCGCGACCCCGGCCTTGACTTTCTTGCCCGCGGCCCACCGGCAGACCTTGCGGAGAAACTGCGGAAGTTCAGTTCCCGCACTGCAACATGCAGGAAGGAGGCAGAGAAGCTGGCGCGGGAGCTAGGTCTCGATCGCTTCCTGCACTAGATATAAACAGGTATGATCCTGTGGACAGGCAGCAGGCATGCGTTGACCGAGCCCCTGCAAAAACGAAGCAGTCTCTTGCTTCCTCCCTCCTCTTTCATCATCGCCGCCCTAGTCCTCCTGTTACCTTATGCATTCATGGTGCTGCTGCTGCGATGGCTCCTCGCCCCGTCCTATTGGGTTCGTCCTTCTCCTGTCCCTCGTTCCCGCCCCCGCTATTGTTTAACGAGCCTTCATACATACTCCTCGTCTTATCGATTGCTGTCCTGTGAGTCGTGCAACATTGCGCATCCCATGTAGGTCGCACTACAAATCGCCGCGCCTGCACTGTCACGGTTCCTGCTAATGTTTCCCTATTCCGCTTGCCACTGGATGCCATTGGGTTGGGTACGTCGCAGGGTAATTGTGGTTTCCACGGGGGGGTTTCAGAACCTTTCCTTCCCTCCCTCCCTCTCTCCCTCTCTCCTTCCCTCCTTCCCTCCCTCCCTCACCCCCTCCTCGCCCAGCTCGTCTCTCCCCACGTAGTGCCCCGTCCTGGGTGCCACATCTGCCCCAGCGATCGCCCGGCAGGGAGAGCCGGCGGGCGGCGGGAAGCGGGGCACACCTTCGGGAGCTTTGACGGGGTTCAATGCAAACGGGGGTCAGCCAGGGCACCAGATCCTGCAGGATCCTGCGAAGACCCCCTCTGGCTGACCCGGGTTCGCGAGCCGCTCGTGGCCGCGAGGCGGCCGCGCAAGTTGGCTGACCTGGGTTTGCGAAGATCTGCGTTGCAGTTCGTTTGCTCCTGCGTTGCAGTTTTTGGTTTCCTGCTGACCCGGGTCTGGATTGACCCGGGTCAGAAGATCCCCGACACGTCGCGAGTTTGTGGCAGCACGGATCCCCGGAGGCTTCGACCAGGGCTGGACCTAAGCGCTGTTCTGCTGGGCTTCGGCTGTGTTTTGTCTTTGATTGTGGCAGGGGGCTACGGGGAAAAAGGGTAGAGGAAAAGGAAAAACAGCACGAAACCAACACGGAAGACAACGTTAGGTCCAGCCGTGGCTTAGACCACTTCCCCAGCCCCTCGGGGGCGGCCAAGAGGGGGGTGATAACTAGGGGGGGGTGGACATCCGGGCGAAAACCATGAGATCTCCCCAGATTTACATGGCGCCCCCTCTTGCTTCATCGCGTCCCTGGCCGCCCCCCTGGGCCGCGCACGTGCCGCCGGCCATGGTCTGCGCCCCGCCCCCTCTTAGACGCCCCCCTCTTGGCCGCCCCCGAGCTCCAGCTCTACATCTCGAGTGCGTTCGCTGACGACGCGCCGCCAAGAGAAACTCTGGACCTGATGGGGTCCTGCGACGGTCTTGCTGTACTGTACACTGCTTTCCTCTCAGCACACAGGCTTAAGTCGGGCCTGTCCCCCTACAGGGCGATTTTCGACGAGAAATAAAAAATATTCGAAATATAGTCAAACAATTGTCCAGAAATAGTATGGGTATTATGTTTTCTGTATATTTTTATATTTTTTGAGCACTTTGGGGGTATTTCTTATTTTTCGTCGAAGCTCCCCCTGTAATTAAGGGGACAGGCCCGACTTAAGCACAGGCCCCTTCGTCAAGTACGAAAAAAAAACGGTGTGCATGGACGAGCCCCGGAAGGCCCCCCTGGGGGACCCGAGGCCGACGAGGCGCAAGCGCGGCCTCTGGTGCGGCGCGGCGCGCGGAAGGCGCGGGGGGGGCCTCCGGCCCCGAGCAGGCCGCCGCAGAGCGTCGCCTCGCGCGCAGGGATCGGCGAGCCGCGCGCCCCCAGGGAAATCGTGCCTGGGCAATCGCCTCCCTGTCGCTCGTCCCGCCCTCCCTCCCTCCCTCCCGGCCTCGCCTCCCGTCCCCGCTCGTCGTGCGTCCCCCCTCCCTCCCCCTAGTGCGTCCTCTCTCCCTCCTTTGCTGCTCCGCAGATGCATGCGTGCGCAGCCACCGCTGCGTTGCGCAGCTTGCAGGGCGGATGCCGTCAAGGACGGGGTCCCGGCCCATGCCCCGTGCATGCGCCCATGGTTTGCCGCAGCCTACGGCTTCACTTGACCTGACCTGGTCACCCCATGCCAAGTCTCAGGTCGGGCATGTCCCTCCCACAGGCGAAAATTGGACGAGCAATACGAACAGTTGTCAAGCAAATAGTCGAAGAGTCGTCCCCATCCGATGTTTTGACTATTTTCGAATCTTCCCCCTATAGAGGGACGTGCCCTACTTACGCCAACTCTGCGAGGGGCTCCAGGTCCTCCTCCGTCCAGGGATCAAGCAACAGCCACCAGGCATCTCTTTTGATGTATTTGGGCCAGGATTTCGAGCGCATCCAGCCGCGGCGACGGGGGGCTCCTGGAGGCCCAGGCGGTGGCATCCAAGACCTTTGATCCTCGAGGTCCGGGCTCCGGAGATCCCGACGCAAGGAGGGCTGGGCCCCTCCCGCCCCCTCCCCCGGCGACAACGACGAGGGGGGGGGGGACTGGCCTCTGCACGCACGAAATAGGTACAGAAAGAATAAGTACAATGCCCAACAGTAGTTCCTGCTCATTTTTGAGCAGGACTCGCTGTCCGCGCCGCCGCGGCCTGTGCCCATTGGAGACTGAAGGCCGCCTGCCCAACAGCGGCCACTGCTGGTTTGGGGCAACATGTGTTGTTGGGCATTGTACACATGTTTTCCGTACCCATTTCGGGCGTCCAAATGGCCCAGTGGGACGACGACGTCGACGCCCATGCATCGCCCATCGTGGCCTGGATGCCCCGCCCCCGAGCAGGCGGCGTCGCCATCGAGGGCCCCTCGCCGGCCCGTCGGCGATGCGGCCCCGAAGTTGGGTCGACGTTTTTTCTGCCCTCTCAGCCGGCCCCCCTGCGTGCTCCCCCAGGAGGACGAGGAGGAGGAGGAGGAGGAGCAGGAGGAGGGAGGAGGAGGAGGAGGAGGAGGAGGACGAGGAGGAGGAAGAGGAGGAGCTAGGAGGAGGAGGAGGAGGACCCCCCCCTGACCCCCGACCCCCGAGGTCGCGCCGACGAGAGAGCTGGCCCTGCAGATCCAGCGCGAGGCGCGGCTCCCCGCCTCGCCCCGCCCGCCTCGCCCCTCCTCCCTCCGACCGCTTCTGCCCTCCCTCCTCGGGCTCCCTCCTTCCCTCCCTCTCCGGCCCCCGCTCCTCGGGCAGCTGCTTCCTCGGACCCCCTGCGGTGGGCGCGAGAGAGGGGAATCAGCCGGGGCCGTGGAGGGCCACCCTCACGTTCTTATCGTTTGGGCCTCCACCCGTGTGTGTGTTTTTTATGGATATAGAATATACGTATGTATGTATGTATGTATGTATGCATGCGTGCATACATGCATGCATGCATACATGCATGTATGTGCACATGTATGTTTGTATGCATGTATGTATGTATGCATGCGTGCATGCATGCGTGCATGCATGCATGCATGTACGTATGTATGTGTGAATGTATGCATGTATATGTATGTGAATGTATGCGTGTATGTATGTATGTCTGCATGTATGTATGTGTGTATGCATGTATGCATGTATGCATGTATGCATGTACGTATGTATGCCCTATGCATGTATGCATATATGCATACATGCATGTATGAATGTATATATATGTATCTATGTATGCATCTATGTATATATGCATGTATGTATGTATGCATGAGAGAATGTATGTATGTGTGTATGCATGTATGTATGTATGTATGTATGTATGTATGTATGGACGTATGGATGTATGTATGTATGTATGTATGTGTGTACGTGTATGTGCATGTGCATGTGCATGTGCATGTGCATGTGTATGTGTGTATGTGTATGTGTCTGGATGTGTATGTGTTTATGTATAATTATATGTATACATATATATTTGTATATGTATTTGTATATGTATACGTATATGTATGTGTATGTGTATATGTACATGATATTGTATACGTACATGTACATGTATATGTATGTGTATGTATGCATGTCTGTAGGTAGGTAGATAGGTATGCATGTCTGTCTGTATGTATGTATGTGTGTATGTATGTATGTATATCAGTGTATGTATGTGTATATGTATATATGTGTATGTATGCATGCATGCATGTATGCAGGTATTTATGTATGCATGTATGTATTCATGTATACCTTCATGTATGTATGTATGTATGTATGTATGTATGTATGTATGTATGTATGTATGTATGTATGTATGTATGTATGTATGTATGCACATATATGTGTATACATCTATATATATATATACACATCGAGCCCTGGGTCATCGGCGAAAGGGACGCGTGCCCTTGACCCACCCTCTCGGATTCGCGTCTCGACCGCATCCCTCCTCCCGCCGTCGCCCCCCGCCCGGCGCCTGCCCCATCCATGGAACGATGGGGGACGAGGCAGGGAACAGCAGGAGGGGGAGGAGAAGGAGGAGGAGGAGGAGGAGAAGGAGGAGGAGGAGGAGGAGGACCCCACCCCTCCCCCCGACGGGGGGCGAGGGGAGAAGGAGGAGGAGGAGGAGGAGGAGGAGGAGGAGGGGCTGAGGCACCCGGGGGCGACGATAGGGGGCGAATGGCCCAGGGGAGAGCAGTCCATGCATCCGGGGGCGCCGATGGTCCATGCCTTTGGCGAGGCTCCCAGGCGATGACTTCGGGCAGGGCCCGCCCCTGGGCCCTTCGCCTCTATCGTCGCCCCCGAAGCACGACGAGCGCTGCTCGGCAACCTCGGCGTCCGCGGCCCCTCCCTCGGGCCCAAAGGCACGACCCTCGCGGCGTGGCCGCAGGTCCCAGGGGGAGGCTGCTGGGAGCCTCGCCAGCGAGCCTCGCCCTTATTGTCGCCCCCGAAGCACGACGAGCGTTGCTCGGCAACCTCGGCGTCCGCGGTCCCTCCCTCGGGCCCAGAGGCACGACTCTCGCGGCGTGGTCGCAGGTCCGAGGGGGAATGCGGCTGGGAGCCCCGCGGGGCCCACGACGCGAGGGTTCGGAACGCCGCTGGAGATCCCGGAGCGCGGCGCGGCACTTGGCCTCTTGTGGGCGTCGCGCCATGGGGGGGCGGTAAATGAAAGGGGAGGGGCCCCTGAAGGAGCCTTTGACGGTCCAGAAGGGGGCCTGTAGGGCCTGAGTATTGCACCTTTCTTCCCCCCCGCATTTACCGCGCCCCATTAAGCGAGGCCCACCGCTCCTCGCGATAATGGTGGGGCCGATGTTCTTTGCTCCTACTCGGAGCCCCTCCGAAAATCATACCCACATCAGCCGAACACACGCGAAACCGTAAAGACAGATTTGAAAGCCCTTGCCCCGCTCGCCCAACCCGCCCGCCGGGGCCCGACCCGCTTCCTCGAGCCAACCCGAGGCCAACACGTTCTGCAAGGCCGTGAACCTCACCTCCGTCTGCGCCTACGGCGGCGGGCCCATGGGCGAGCAGCTCGCGGCGCTGAAAAGAGGCACGGCCCGCTGTCCGCGCGCCTCGCCGCCGCCGCCGCCGCCGCCGCCGCCGTCGAGGTTTGCGGTTCGAGGCTCTCCGATCAAGCGAAGCAGGAAAGTCGGCATACCACGCAAGTGATCGTTTTCTTATTCGTTGTTTTGCCGATCGGCGCGGGCCCTCGCACCCCCACCCCCCCCCATAGAGTAGATCGATTTTGTGGTGTTTGGTGTTTGTTTCTCGCAGGTGGAGACTCCCCCAGAGGCCGCATTGTTGCAAACAATCTCAGCAAGCAGAGGTCTGGAGCCAGACCCCCCCCTCCGCCCTCTCCTTTCGCTCAATGTCGAAACGCCGAAGGAGAAAACGATCACCAGTTGTTCGGCGGTCGGCGCTGGAATTTCATTGCCGGCGCCTCCGGTGCCTCTTGCGCCGCCCCTGGCGCGCTCCGCGCGCCGGGGAGGGCGGGTGCACGATTCCTTGGGCCAGTGGCCCCCAGCAGCCGCTGGCCTGAGGCGTGCTTCTTGTGCACGGCGGTTAGCTTGCGACTACCCTCCTCCTCCTCGTCCTCCTCCTCCTGCTCCTCCTCCTCGTCCTCCTCCTCCTCGTCCTCCTCCTCCTCCTCCCTCCTCCTCGTCCCTCCTGCCTCCTCCTTTTCTCCTGCTCCTCCTCCTCCTCCTCCTCCTCCTCCTCCTCCTCCCTCCTCCTCCCCCCTCCTGCCTCCTCCTCCCTCGGGAGTTGCGACAGCACTCCATGTCGAAAAGCCGAAAGTTGCAGATGATCATTCGCCTTGTGACCACCACCGCTGGATGACTGGGGGCAAGACATGCTTCATAGTGCGGGGGCCACGATCGCACTGGTTGTTTCCGTCCCGTCAGTTCAGATCCAGGAAGTACCTTTCGATGCAGTAATGCTTGAGCGCCGTCAGATGGCCCAGAGAGCACAAGCGAGTTTTCTGTTATTGTGGACCAGGAGTGACCCAGCCCATGCGGATCAAGTGATCATGGGCCTCACCCAGGCCAACAAGGTCCACAAACGGAAACCACGAACGCCAGATGGCATGGAGGAAAGTCCCCATTGGGAGCCAATAGGCTCGATAGATGGCGTGCCAGATGGCATGGAGGAAACCCCTCACTGGGAGCCAAGACGCCCGATAGAGATGGCCGAGCCCAGCCACGGAAGACGAAGCGAATGCCAGAGGGTCCTTCATTTACCATCTCGTGGTGGCCCTGGAGCTTCCCAGCTGGACCTCGAAGAGCCCCGAGCCCCTGTCCGCTGGCGCACGACTCGCAGGCCCCCATGAGCAGCATAGGACTCCGAAGCAGCTCGGCGGACCCATGCTGCTCCTTGCCCCTCCTCCTCCTCCTCCTCCTCCTCCTCCTCCTCCTCCTCCTCCTCCTCCTCCTTCCCCTCGTCCCTCCTTCTTTCTCCGCAGCCAATCTGGCTCAAGCGGAGGCGCTCTGGCGAGCGCCGCGGCCGCGCCGCCGCCGAGCGCGCGGAGGCCCGTGATGGGGCGCGGCGGGCGGGCGGCCCGTCAGTCCGGCATGGCGCAGCGCTCGTCACCAGGGCGACCGCGGGCGAAGCCGCCGAGCCCCTGCTGCACCTGCGCGCCGCACGCCCAGTGGTGGAGGTGGAGCCTGCAGCAGCGTCTCCGCCGGCCGAGGCGGCTGCTCCAGCCCGCTCCGCGCTCGGCGAGCGCGCAGGAGCTGATAGGGGCTGCACCCGAGCTGTTGGCAATGCTGGGCGCGCCCATGTTGGCCACGGGCATCGCCGAGCTCCGCGCCCGATGGCGGCGCCTGCCGTCGGCCCTCGAGCGAAGCTGCCGCGCGGCGGACGCGGCCGGCGGCTTCCTGCGCCCCTCCCGTGCGACGGAGGCCGTCGTCGCTACGCGAGCGGTTTGGCTCGCGGGTGACGGCGCCGAGCTGGAGGGCGGGCAGCACGCGGAGGCACACGACAGCGGCGACTTGGGGAGCGGCGCCGCCAGCACCCGAGAGGCGCAGCTGGAGGAGCTGCGCAGGGAGAATCAGCAACTCGAGCAGCAGCTGCACCACGAGAAGCAGAAGCACAATGATTCCAAGGCGCGGATCGCGCAAGCGGAGTACGAGGCACGCGACCTCGCCAACAGGGTGGACGAGCAGCACAAACAGAATGAGGAGCTCGACATGGCCCTGTGCGAGCAGCACGGGATAGCCTGGCTCGCGGAGGTCCCAGCCTTCCCCGCCCTTGCTTGCGGTTCAGACGTCTTGCTGAATGAGCGCGAGATCGTCGGCGGCAATGGCCGATCGTGTTACGTCGATCAGCTGCAGCGTGACGACAACGCCCAGGGGACCAACGGCCACCAGCCGAACTCCGAAGGGGACCAGGGCAGGCAGCTGAACTTGATCAATGCAGGCGGCGACGTGTTCACGGCCCTGGCGCGGTGTGGCCGCACACACACACACACACATACCCCATGCAACGCTCGCGAAGAGACGCGAGGACGCCGCAACAGGCGCGCGGCGAACGCAGTGGCCCGTGGATGCAGTGGTGACGCCGCTGCTTGTCCTCAGCCTCGCAGCTGCCGCTGGTGAGCGATAAGGGCAGGTGCATGTCCAAGGAACGAGGCCGGAGCCAGACGCCTCCTTCCACGATGGCCCCACGTGCCTCTCGAGCCCACTGGCGGCGACGGCGGCAGCGTGCTGGGCCGGGGCCCCGAAGATGAGGAGTACAGTAGTGCCGTTTTCAATACATGCTCCGCGTGCGGATCATGTATTGATTATAAAAGCAGGGCTTCAGTATCAAAAACAACCAGGAGTTCCTGCATGAATTCATAGATGATTCCTGTATTAAAAATTGTATGCTCTTGAACATCCTATGTATTAAAACCTGCCCTGTACGCCCTCGGCGGCCAGACCGTCGGCGGGGGCGGGCTGTGGCCCCTGCCGGGCGCGAAGGAAGGCGCGCCGCCGAGCTCCATATTCTCGTCCACAGCGGCCCCGGAGGCCACGGCCTGGCTACCGGGGCGTCGGGGCCGCGCAGGGGGCCGATGGGGAAGCAGGGGAAAAAAGCCACTCCCAGGAAGATGTGGGAAAACGTGGGAAGTGGGGGGAAGACAAAAACCCAGAAAATATCGGAAAGTATAGGGAATCCTTTGGTTCGTGTGCATTTATTTGTGTGTGTGTCCCAGGGCCCCTTCAGATGGGGCAGCAGGGGCAACCCTGCCCTCGTCGGCGGTGCGCCTGGAGCAGGGGAGGGCGGCCGGGAGCCCGGTGACAGCAGTGGGGGGCCACATGCGAACCCTACCCCAACCCCCCACGACTTCTGAGGGGGAGGGTGGGGTTCACTTCGCTCGGGAGCTCCCGAACGAGGTGAACCCCACCCTCCCCCTCAGAAATCGTGCGGGGTAGGGGTAGGGTTCGCCTGTGGCCCCCTAAGCAGGCCGTCAGTCTGCCATGGCCAGGAGCGGGTGACGGGCGAGCGTCCGCGGCGGCCCGGCCTCTGCTTGAGCGCGGCTTGCCGCGCGCGGGCGGGCGTGCCGATCCTTGCCGCACGCGTCTCTCGGCCCCATCATGACTGTTAAAATCCCTCCTCCCTTCGGATCCTTCCTCCGTCATCCTCCTCCACCTCCTCCGCCTTCCCTCCCCCTCCGCCTCCCCCCCCCCCGCCTCCTCCGCCTCCTGCTCCGCTTCACCCCCCCGCCCTCACTCGCCCTCGCCCTTCCCTCCCTCCCGCTCCCAAGCCCTCCCCGCCTCCAGCCTCGCACGGCGCGCCGCGCGAGCAGGCGCCGAGATTCTGGTCGGCACCCCTGGGAGGCTGATCGACGTCCTCACGACCTCAGGCCCGAGCCCCTGAGCTGGGCGCCGCCCCAGCGCCGCGTGAGCGACGCAAGGGAACGCGGGCGATTGCGCTCGACATTGGCGCACAAGCTGCCCACGTCAGGTCGCGCGGCCGCGCCCTCGTTTCGAATGCGGCACGCCGCCTCTCGTGGCCCGCGTGCACATCCGCGTGAGGTCGTTACGCCATCTCGCGTAAGACCCCTTCTCTTGTTGTCGCTCACATCATGCCGCGCGCGCGCCCGCCC